GTTCTAAATTTTCATCAATATGAACATGTAAGCAGCAAAGAATACTCACCTACTCCCCCTGAGGGTAAAGTAACGCCATTAGCTAAAGGTGAAATAAATATAAGTATCAGTTAACGTAGCGAAACATTGATAAAGAGAAACAACAACTGCATTAATTGACATACAAACAAGACAAATCTACGCGTATAACTAACTAATCAATGAATACCAATAACACAAATACTTGAATATATCAAGTTTAAAATTTTCCTATTAGTTGACTTGAGATCATCTCCGACGCGAATGGCACATCAGAAGTGATTACATAGTGAGACAATCCATACTATTTCATTGCCAGCTAATATGTGGTTTTTCTATGAAATGACCGCCTTTAGGGTTCAATTCTGTTGTGAGGAGCTTTGAGCACTTACTTGTTCCTTCCGTGACAGCAGTGGTGGCAGCTGTGGAAACATCACAGTGGATTAACAAGTTTTGGCATTAGTACCAATCATAAAGTAAGAAAATGAAATCATCCTTGCCAAATTTAACAAGGCCCTTCCCAATTTATGTCTTGAGGCATCGTGAAATATAAGCTCTAAATTAAAACAAAACTTTTCATCACATCTTAATTTATTTACGTGGACAGAAAAGTTGAGCATCCACAAATATTTTATCCTTTTGCTAATGGCTAAGTTCAGGCATCAATAACATATTTGATAAAAGGACTTTACTGCAACTCTAGACCAAAGTAAATTCAGCTCTTACCTTTACAAAGCATATCCTGTATCGCCATGACTATTTGTGGCATTTTAGAGAATTCAACTGAAAACACGTGATGCTTCTGCGGATAGCTTGCCATAACGCTCAGCTGAGCTTTGTTGTAATGAGTTCCCAGTCCAACGGTTAATATTTTAACCCCTGCCGATCGAAGGTCGGCAGATGGCTGAGCAACCGCATCATGAGAATATCCATCAGTAATAACGACAAGTACACGAGGAACGCCTTTTCTGATATTGTTAAAAAGCTTTGAACCCGCCATTCTTATCCCTTTACCCGTGTACGTCGTAAATCCAGGGTATTGAATTCTGTCAATGGCGGCCTCCACATTTGATTGCGTCTTGTAATGAGTGAAGTCGAATTCGAGCTTGCTGTGGTATGAGAAGACAATTGCCCCAACTCTTGTGTCAGTAGGAGAAATAACGAACGCTTTTGTGAGAGCTTTGACAAATTTTAAACACTTTCTGAAATTTCCTGCCCCGTAATAGTTGATACTTCCTGAGCCATCTATAAGGAAACCAAGATCCACTTGCGTTTTGCAGGCTAAGGAAGAACATGGAGATGACGAAACGTAAGCACACAAATGTTCACCCTTTTGCAAAAAAAGATTAAGTCGTCTAGTATTTCAGCGATGACAGACTGAGTTAAGATTCAAATCATCAAACCTTCTCCTACTGCGGGTTTAGGTCCAGTGACAGTAACCGAGCCAGCTGAAAACAAAAATGGACGAAACGTAAAAGTCCATAATTTGAATTCGAGGTAAACGTTCCTAGTGTTGCGATTAGAGTTCTGTATATTTTTCCTATGAAAGTAAATTACACTACGAACTAAATGCAAAGACTTGGCTCAATAGCGCCAAGCGAACACATAAAAAATGCAGAGTATCCGAAACCTGGGTGCAAATCTTTTGGATTTTTGGATGCAAGGGGAAAAAGAGCACTCTCAAAATAGAAAGGAATCGTGAAAATACAGAAACTAATGAATTATATTACCAAGAAGACAAAAGATTTGAGAGTTATTTACCTTGCGAGACAAGGCCGATCACTTTCTCAGTGATGCTTGCGAATCCGCCGAAAGAGGAGGTGTTTAAGACGTAAGATGTAGCGAAAGCCATCGATTGAAGTTGTGCTCTATCGAAAGAAGATCCCATTCCTACTGCAATGATTTTTACTCCAACTTGATTTAAGGCATCGGCTGCATCTTTAATGCCTAGATCCTCCTGTGCTCTTCCCGCCATAAGGACAATCAGCACTCGCGACCTCCCCGTCGTGTCAGCGGTAAACAGTTTGGAACCGCACTGGTAAAGAGCCTCACCGACGTTGCAGTTTCCACCCACCAACTCGACATTGCCAACTGCTGAGTCCACGTCAGAGAGTGAGGAATACCGATCAAATCCAAAAACAATCTGCCAACAAAAATTATGAATGCTATAACAAAATCAATTCGTTATGAGCTCAAGAAGAGTCTAAGAGGTACTATACGAAGGTTAGGGTCAAAAGATTGTGCACAAACGGTTTTAATAAGTTTACTTCGATGTTCAAGTTAACTTATTTGTCAATTATATTTCCTTTTAAGGGTGGAATAAGTCGACCTTCTGGGAACAAGCTTGAATGAAAGTTAGATTGAATCGGCGTGGGCTGGTGTTTTTGTGATGATTGATACTTGTATTAAAGCATTCCATCAAAAGGGAGACGCCAACATCCTCCTCAAATTCTACTACTGTCATGATCAAGTTCATAAGGGTCAAACCATAATCCGATGATTATATCTGCCCTCCCACCGATGTGATAATTTCAGGATGAGGGAGAATTCGGAGACTGGAACGTAAAGCAGTTTCCTTGAAAACTGTTTTCCCCCATTTATCCACTTTAGCCAACTCTTACTTCTGTCCAGTGATTGTGGGACTATTTCTCTCAGGAGTTCGAATTTGCAGGGGTTAATGAATGATCAAGTGAATGCTTATTAAAAATGATACATCGATGCAATAATTAAATTAAATATATCGATAAGGTACCTTAACACTGTCACCAAATACCACCAATCCGTACCGCACATCACCAACCACGGAAAAAGTATGGAAAATCCTAGTTACGAAGTTCATAACAAGCCCGAGCGTTCTATCGTCTCCGATGCTTGATGACGCATCCACCAAGAAAGCCAAGTCACATCCACCTGAAATAAAGCGAATGGGTGAAGCTTGGACATATTCAATTCAATGACACAAAATAAAAAATTTAGATGAGTGAAGAATGAAGTAAAAGTGGCAGCGTCCCCTTTTTCGTTACTGAAAAAAGATTCTTGGACACTTTGTAATGCATATACTGAGACACTGGCTCTCTTAGATGCAGAAAATTCTTTCACCCAACACTTCCAGCTTGCTTCTTCGAAGAGATTTTAAGTTTTCTTTTCATCTGGTAGCGACCACTTTTCGTTTTTTCCTTATCATTTATGCAGTACAGCACCCACCTCCTTTTGCAATGGATCTTCCAATGGTACTGACTCCTCCAGCTAAAACGATAGCAACAAATAATATTAAGCATCATAGAAAATAAATGCTTTCCAAGTTAGCTTCCGAAATTAAACCCTAAACTATGATAAATTTTAAGGAAAATCGAATAACTTCAAAATAGGTATTCATGATAATTATTCTATTCAACTACAAATTCAAGATTAGTATAGTCTTGAACTTGTAATTAAATAGAGTTTTCTGAAATGTGCACCAAGCACTTAACGTTGGTGAGAATATAAGATGCAGAAGAGCGCCAAAAATACTCTTGCTTTCAGGGATTCTTCGTGCCGTTACGAGAAATTTAAGGACAACTGTCGTGCAATTCATACGGTTTCCTATACTTAACACAGAGTTCCCATTTAATATTACAAACTCCAAGAGATCTTCCTCTTCCTCAACAGAATCTGTCATGCAGTTTAATAACATTAGACAAAACAATATCTCGGGTTCAGTAGAAAACAGGGACTACTCTGAGTCTTACTTAAACCAGAAAGCAGTGCGTTCATGTACCTTGCGATATAGTTGTTGAAACGCTTCCTGTAATATCTGCCAAACCCTTAAATGAGGCAGTGTTTAGCACGTTAGACGTAGATGCTGTCAAAGCTGTTATCTGTGCTTGAACAAATAAGCCGCCAACTCCAACAGCGAAAATCTTGACTCTAGCAGTTTTCAATGACCCGACCACATTTGAGTAGTCCGTACTAGTGCTTCCTGCCACAAGCACCAGAAGAACACGTGCTCTTCCTCGTGCGTCACCAGAAAACAGGGATGATTGACATTCTAAGAGAGCAGCGCCTATGTTGCAGCTGCCACCCAACATCCTGACCTTAGCAATCTCCGCGTCGATGTCATAGATGGAGCTGTATTGATTAAATCCAAATATGACCTGAAAGAAATAGTGGTACTTGTTGCATTATGTAAATGTTTTTCAAACTTAATTTAGTTTACATATTACAGAAATGTTGAATTTGCTTTCCATCGCTTCTCTCTGGGATTGGCAAATCATATTCGCGCCACGATCTCCAACTATCTGATTCAAGAGTAGAAGAAATCAGAAATTAGCAATTCGTTGTTAGTTGGTTTTCAAGTGAGTTAAGAATGGCTCCTTACGACATCTACCTAGGCCATGAATAGCCACTCAGAGAACTAAGCTTGCTTTTGCTTTCACGAGATCGATCAGAAGGCGCTTCACAGTGGGTAACAAACCAGAAAATTAAACCGCCGCACTATACGTAAGTATATAATCAATCATAAATTTCATCTGAAAATTATACATGACATAAACAAAACGATTCCACATCGCAGTTATAAGTGTAATTATGAAATTCTTGTTTATCAAAGTTTTGACAAAGTTTAAGCCAATTTCAAGAAATGAACGCCTACCTTTGCCCTGCCACCGAAGACGACTAATCCGTATCTCACTCCATTCCCGAGTTTGAACGAGTGGAATACATCAGTCACGAAATTCATGATGACCTGAAAGTTCAATGCTCCTCCGACGCTCGCTGAGGCGTCCACCATGATGGCCAAGTCAAGTCCTGCTGTGGAAGAGATTGCAGGATCATGACATAGCCATAGCCTCGACAAAAATTCCCTTGAGGAATTCTATTTGGCGGATAAGTTGACCTTTTGACCTTGGCAAGACCCCTTGTCCAAATAACTAAATGACAAAGTAATTTGCCACGGTAAAACTCACCAGGGACATTTTAGCTGGTGTGCATGAATCGAAAAATCCTTATTCAGGACCTATGCGATGTGGTGGAATAAACTGACCTGACGTTCCTGTCGCTGTAATTCCTCCGCTACCGACTCCACCAACTGAAAGAAGTACCAAACTTGCCTTCAATGACAATTTTACCGTAAGATATAAGTGCAGCGTGGAAATTACGGAGATGATAGTAATATAGATCCAGAAGAAAACGGTAGTCATTAAAGGGTTGGAAATGGTTATCTTTAGCTGATCACAGTGAATCTTAAATATCTCAACAGCTTACCGTCATACCTACCGACATGAAATGCTAATAGTTAGACACTCGCAGAGAAATTCCGTATCTACGCGCGCCCAAGTAACTGGTGATTAGTTTCTCTCTCGCGACCTCGTCTTTTACTCATTACACCCTCCCCACTCCCCCTCTCAAAACCCATGGTCGTGAGAAAGCTTGACCAAGACTATATGTCTTGAGCAGCTATTTCGGTTCTCAGTCCATAAGCTCTCTGACTTCATCAAAAGATAGCAGCAATCGCCAAAACATTTGTCTCCAGTGGCTGTTGCCAGAACAGAAGAAGAGAGAACAATGTTGCACTAAGTGCAGTGAGGTATTTCTTCCAATGAACGAGCAATCCTTACTCGCAAATAATCGACAAGTAGTCATCTCTTTACAAACACCATTTGTACTTTGAAGATCTCTCTTAGATTTAGACCAGATGATTTAACGTGGATTTTTCATATTTTCCTGGATTTCTCTTTAGCTTTCTGTCTTTACCACCTAGTTTGTTGTTTTAATTATAACTATTATGTACCGTCTCTTCTGTTCAAGTGAGGATGACAGTTTTTCTTTACCGTTTACTGTCAATAGCAGAGATGCCATCAATAAAACCTTAAATAGATAAGACTCATCATATTTGACCAACTTTATATCAACACACAGGTTGAATTATTATTATTATTATTATTATTATTCATGCGACAATGAATTAAATTCATGGATCTCTTCACGGAGTATAAGTACAATAGAAAGACTTACCTCCGCTTCCCGTGGTGGTGACAGTTGTCCCGGCTGAAATAAACCATTATAAAAGAAAGTTGTAACACATCAAAAAAAACTTCAATCAATCAGTCAGTGTCATTTGATAATTTAGTTAATCACGCAGGCAGTCAGTTTGGCAGTAAGTGATTCAGTCAGTCCATCGACCAGGCTATCGATCACTATCATCAGTTGAGTCGTTCATCAATGAATTCACTCACCTGTCGGCCCATGCACTGGAATCTCTAAATTAGTTTTTTGACGCCTCAGTATTACTTACTTGCTCCTTCAGAGACGGCCTTTGCGGAATCTACAAAACAACACATCAATTGAATCAGTTGTTTTAAATGGCGGTCATTGCGTAGGCTCTTTTAATAGAAAGTCAATAATTTATTATATTTATTGTTTTCTCGAGAACCAGTTTTCATTTATCGCTAGCCACTTGTCAGAACGGATTGAGCTCGAGATGAAATGTGTATCTTTCAGAGCATCTTTCAAATTTGAGGAGATTCCTATGTGCAGTCAACCATCCAAAGACTGAACGTCAAAATGTGGTTTAACCATGATGCAATGCGCGATGAAAAAAATAACAACTTTATCAACAAGGCAAAGGTCGCGTTAAGATCAAACAACTGTTTTTCGATTAACTTCAAAGTACACTTGTGTTTTAAATGTGGAGCACGCTATTTGCTATTTACTTTCCTTCAGGTACAGGAACGAGGTACACTAAATAATATCGATCATATTCTTTTTTCTGTATATCACCAAGTATCAATATATAGTACTAGGCAATATATCATCCTCACGAGATCTGAGGTTACTTCTTCTAACGCGCTTCTCACCTCTGCAAAACCTATCTTGTATTGCCCTAACTATAATCGGCATTTGAGAGAAATCCACCGAAAACACGTGCTCTTCCTGTGGGTTGCTGGCTATGACGTTAAGCTGAGCTTTATTGTAATACTTTCCCAGTCCAACGGACAGTATTATTACTCCAGCCTTTCTAAGCACTGCAGAAGGCTCGGCGACATTATCGTGGGAAAAGCCGTCCGTTATAACAATCAGTACACGTGGAACTCCTTTCCTGATATTGCTGAATAATTTTTCACCGGCCATTTTCAGACCGACACCAGTGTACGTCGAACGTCCGGGGTATTCTATGCGATCGACTGCGGCCTCTACATCTGATTGCCTGTGGTACTGGCTGAAGTCGAATTGAATTTTACTGCGGTATGAGAAAACAATAGCCCCAACTCTTGTTTTCGTTGGAGAAATAACAAAAGCTCTAGTAAGAGCTTTTACAAAATCCAAACACTTTCTGAAATTTCCTGCGCCAAAGTAATTTATGCTTCCAGAGCCGTCAATCAGGAATCCAAGGTCCACTTGAGTTTGGCAAGCTAAAAAGGTAAATATCGCATTAAGCATACTTTTATATGCCCATTTTAAGGGAACTTAATTGAGAAAAGCCAACCACACAAAATTACCGTCAATCTGAGAATTTAAGTTTGCTGTTTCGAGAAAGGAAATAAACAAAAAACAAACAAAAAAAAACAACCAAACAAACAAACAAAAACAAAAAAATTAAAGACCGTAAATAAGGTTATACATTTTTTTGAAGAACCTCTAATTTTAAGTCATTGAACCCTTGAAGCCCTCCACTAGGAGGGGGCGAGGTGAACGGTCAAAGAGGAAGGGTAAACGAGTCAGGCTAAAATTAAACATATCGAAAACGAAGCAAAACAAATAATGGTGAGAGCTTTTATTCAACAACTTGCGAGACTTTTGAATGAAATTTCATCGTTAATAATTTAATTTGATTACCTGAAAACGGAGTGCGTTCTCATGCGACACAAGTGCAAAGTTGTAACACGAATGCAAATTAAGCTGTAACACGAGAGCAAAATTAATTACAAATAGCGCGCGCACGCTTTCATATTTTCGTCTGTCTTGACTTCCTGTGATCGTACACATTATTAACAATAAAATCATGATTTGCAATTTGTTGTAGGACACACTTGTAAATTTTTCAAAGACTACACATTTTGTTGTCTTTGAAAAATTTTACTCGTGCTTGTTGAAACCAAACTGCACTCAAAATCATGTTATTATCAATACATATTTTGTCCATTTATACCTAAAATATTGCAGGGAGCCGACTCCATGCCCTAATAAATAATAAACAAAGAAGACAGCTGAAACAAAGTTCCATATGACATTAAACTATTGAAATAATGATTTAACAAACCTCCATTTTCGGAAAGCGCAGTTCCAATGGCAGTCACACCACTAACTATAAAGAAGAGAGTCATGAACTTGATTGTTAATTTAAGTTTTGTGCAAATAGATGCTAAAGGTAAAAAGATTATATCTGATTGCTGAAAAGTCATAATAAATTTTATAATTGTAGTTATGTAAATGTTGTATTGCAAAATTCACTGCATTATCAACTGTTTTCTTTTAAGTTGACCTTCGACTCAAGGATACAGATTGAGTTCGCATGGTGGAATTTATTTCGATTTAATGTCGCAATAGACCGATGCGTATGTAATTACAACAGTTTATAACAACAAATTTTAATATCGTAAGGATCGAATGAGAACTGAAGTGAACTCGAGAATTCAAACACTACCACAGGCCAGGAAGAAAGTGTTTGATCAAATAGTTATTGGTTTAGGCTTTGCGCCTAATTGGTTGAAGGAATGGCGCAAGTTTCCCGGACCATGAATTACGTTAAAAACGGCTCAATCTGAATTGCTCTACAAGTTTTTTTTATTCATTATTATAACGTTTACCTTCAGATACCAAATTGGAAACAGTCTGCCTTTTTCCTGCTAAACCAGTAAAGGAGTTGGAGTATAGAGCATAAGATGAAGAATATGCCATAGTTATAAGCTCTTGGTTAGAAAATGAGCTACCCATTCCAACAGCAATTACTTTGACTTTAGCCGTTTTCAATGTTATGGCAGCTGTTGTCAAACTGACTGTCGATCTGCCAGCCATTAGCGCGATCAAAACTCTCTTTCTCCCAGCCCCATTACCGGCAAAAAGAACTGAGTTGCATAGAGTAAGAGCTTCGTGGGCGTTACTGTAGCCTTCAAGCAGGTTCACACTAGCAACTTTTGAGTCGACGTCAGAGAGTGATGTATACTGATTAAATCGGAAGATAACCTGCAAGGAAATGAAAAAAAAAACCTTACACATGTATTATTCTCTATCTAATTGAATCGTTTCGATAATGCTTTTAGTTGATGATAATATGTCCATTCTGTTTTTTTTAGGAGGGAGGACAACGCGGAGAACTCCAAAAAAACCTGCATAGTATGCAAAAAAAAACCAACCAAAACAACAACATCAAAGTGAAGCTGAAAAAAGATTCTCATATCACCCAACACGTGGATGAATAGACTAGAGTTGTAGCTTAAAGAAAGCATGATTCCATCTTCCTTGTGAGAGTCATATTTAGGCGGCCCTACACTTTGCTGCTACTGTTTTGCAAAACTAAGTTGAAGAGACTAGTCCAGAAGAGTAACCTAAATGTTTCATTCAACCTCAATCAAAACTGAACTTACAAACTATCACCACTTACATGGTGATGCTCAGCGCCGATTGGCTGATTTTCACAGATCGTCACTTGTTTATGTTCGAATTTAATATTAACAGCGGTTACTGCTAGATAGCAAACGAGAATGTTTTGAGAAATCATGTAATCATACCTGAGCATGAGCACCAAACGCAACCATTCCATACCGCATACCGATACCGGTGGCAAAGGAGTGAACGATGCTGATTACAAAATTCAGAACACTTGGTAAATTCGCACCAACACTTGATGAGGCGTCCACCATAAACCCAAGGTCACAACCACCTTATACAAAGAACATTTCAGTGCATAAATTAATTGATATGATCGTAGATAAGATACTCGTCAATTCGTAATTCCTTTTTTTTACAGCCTGTGAGGGAGACATGAAGTGACAATTAGGTTAGTCTTCAGCCAGAAAATTAACGCCACATCATCTAATTCCTAAGGATAGCGAACCGAGAAATGCGTTGTCATAACGTGGTTGAAGGTGCTCCCAGATTTTTGAGAGGAAGCAAGCTGCACGAATCATTCATGGCAGTAATATAATAACTCGTCTTTGGTATCCCTTCTTGGTCTTTTTTTTTAATATCTGAGACATAGTTTTGTTACGTTTTAACTCGTCAATTTCACTTTTTTAAAAACACGCGGGTTCTTTTTTTTATGCTAAGCTAAGGAAAGTGCTAAGCTAAGATTTATAGTTTATGCTAAGGTTTAAGCTAAGGACAGTGACCTCAAAAAAATGAAGCTGAAAGGAATCGGACGGTGAGGTAAATAGACATTAAACATTTAAACTTGTTTCAGTCAACATGAGACCAAACGTACCTCCCATCTGGGTCGCGCTTGCTCTGAGATTAATACCGCTGGCTGGGAAAACAAACAGTAGCAAGTCCTCCTTAGAATTTTTTGTGATATGTATTTTTTCACATATTTTTAACTCTACATCTCAATGTGGTCATTATGTATGTGGGAGACGCAGCGAGTCTGTGCTGTATCGTATCGTAGGGTATCATGGTAATGTATTGTATCACGGCATATCATATCGTATCCATATTACGTAAATATATCACTTCAAGTGGCAAAAGAAGCATCAATTAAAGGAATCTATGGACCTTGATATAAAAATCCAGCAGCTTCTTCCCTAACCCCAGGTAACTCAAGGAGTGTGTTTGCTCTCAGAATGTAATCTGGGGTAAACGCCATAGTAGAGAGCTGGGACTGCTCGTAAGAACTACCCATTCTAATAACCATTGTCCTGACTCCGGCTTTCTTCAAATAACCAGCACCTACTGAGACGTCATCAATTGACTTCCCTGCCATGAGGACAAGAAGAATGCGTTTCCTTCCTCCTGCATTACCGACAAACAGAGATCTCTGGCATTCTATCAGGGCAGCGCCTGCATTACATCTGCCTCCGACCAAGGTTACACTTGCTATTTCCGCATCGACGTCATACATAGAGGTATACTGGTTAAATCCAAATACGACCTAATAAAATGAGAAAGAAGATTTTCAAGCTATTTTGTTTTTTTAGCCAGTGATGCACTCGTTTACAAACAAGTAATTGAATCACTCCCGTCCTAATAAAATCATAGACCGAGGAAATGAGGTTTCTGATATAAAATCGATTTAGATATTGTAATAAGCTATTTTTTAGCGCTGAGCTAAACCACGCTTAATATGGTCATGATTTTACCTTAACGCTGCTGCCAAAGACAGCCAATCCATATCTAACGTTATCCCCCAGATTAAATGAATGGAAGAAGTCAGTGACAAAATTCATAACGAGTTGGAATTTCAGTCCTCCTTTGATATTCATTGATCCATCTACAAGTACGGCAAGGTCCACTGAAAATAAATAATAATTTGTCTTTCATGAGATTTTTATGGATAACAACTGTAAGATATATATCTAAAAAATTCTTGAATTCTTAGTCATGCTGACATGCATACCATGGAACTTTCTAGAGGATTCTCTTAGGTCAGGTAGTCACGATGTAATGCTACCAAAATAGTTGTGTTGTATGCTTCCAGAATGTTTTAGAATACTTTCAAAAGTATGTAACTATTCCATCGTGCAGTAGTGGTGGTTGCTGTTGTCGGGAGTAACCGACTGTACGGAAAGCTATACCGAGAGAGAATGTCTGTGGAGATTGTTACATCGCTAATAGAGCGAGTTTATACTCACCGGCCCTCTTTGCTCCTCCCGCTATAAGATTAAGAAGTAAAAAAGAAAGATTATCATATTTGAAAATTTCAACTTAACGCAAACATACGGTGAAACTCACACCAAAAGATTAAGAAATTCAATAGCAATCAACGGTAAAATTTAAGGTATTCATGGAAATTATAGAAACGAAGGATCTTTCGATCGAAAGGGATTCAGTTAATGACAAGGGTTTGGAACAACAAGCGGCGGTCTCCCCTTCAAACACTGGTGAATAATATACAAAATCCAAAGAGCCTAAAATATTCGAGCAAAAAATTAAAAAAAAAAAAGCGATTGAGCAATTCATCTCGTCAAGAGAGTGCGATTTCTTAAACTTATCTGATAAACTTACTTGTTCCTTCTGCGACGGCCTTAGCTGCAGCTGTAAGAAATAAAAAGAAAAGAAATATCTTTTTCAGAAACTTTGAAAAAGAGGAAGAATTTGTCAAGTTACTCAATGTTAAGACTTAGAAATGTAAGATGACTAGAAATAATTTTCGGTTTCATTTGAATGTTAGAATATTGTTCGGCGCTTCTATTGACATATTCTATGGACAAAAACGAAATCAAAACTAAACAACGACAAAATAGTACAACAAACGAACAAACAAAAATATCACAAAACAAGGAACATTAGAAACAAAGTGCAAATAAGTTTCTTCTGAAACATGCTCCATTCATAAGCTAACCAGATATACATAAACGGGTGAAGAGCGAAAGAAAACAAAGCATATCTTCACATCAGGAAAGTAAACATTAATTAAGTGTGACTTCTTACATCTGCATAGGTTTGTCTGTATTGCTGTAACTATAGACATCATATCCGGAAAATCAGCGGTGAACAAATGCTCCGGTATTGATTCACTCGCCATAGCCTCCAGCTGGGGTTGAAATCTCCTTAGTCGTCTCAAATTGCCAAGCCCAACTGAAAATATGATAACTCCTTTGTTTCTAAGAGCTTCCGCGGGAGCTCTCACGTCATCGCCTGCTCTCCCGTCAGTTATAACAATGAGCACTCGGGGTACACCCCCCCTAACGTTGTTGAATAAACGTTCTCCCGCCATCTTTAGTGCAGCGCCAGTTTTCGTCGTATATCCGGGATATTTGATTCGGTCAATCGCGGCTTCTACTGCCTGTTCTGTTTGTAACTGAGTGAAGTCAAACTGAAGTTCACTTCTAGAGGAAAATAAGATTACACCAACTCGCGTATCATCAGGAGATATAACGAAAGCGTGTATGAGGGCTTTGACGAATTCCTTGCACTTATCGAAATTACCAGCACCATAGTGGTTGACACTTCCGGAACCATCTAGTAGAAATCCAAGGTCCACTTTGGTTTTGCAAGCTACGAGAAATGAATGAGTTTCGTGACTACACGATTAAACTGGTTAAAATGGTCGCATATTGTTTAATCTGTACCTCTTTGATAGAAATTAGAGCATCTCTACAATTATTTTCTTATGAATGGACTTGTTTGACTAGTAAATATAAAAACTTGTATTTGCGACCGTTAATTGAGGTATGCACATGCAGATATGCAAATCACATAATAGTAGCTCTTCATTTCGAACGCCTTGGCTCAGAAACGAAAAAATTTCTTCTTAATCACGACTGAATCTCAATAGTCGTAGCACTCTGGGCCCATTCTAGTTGTAGCTTCCTGCAGCTGATTCAGGGATCCTCACCGGTCAAGCTAATAGCTTAATTGCATTCCGATGTATCTTTTCTAGAAAGATGAAACTCTACATCATACTTACTGATTTATGGTGGTATGACAGGCCTCTTTGTTATAGAAGTGATACACAAATTAATGTTTGTTGTTGAGTGATAATCGTGTTTACCTTGCGTTGTCGATGATCGTGCAATAAGTTGTCTTCTGTCCCAGGATGTTTGCGAGATTGATTTTAATTTTGAGCGATGTTTCGTTGTTTTCTCATTGGAAGGGCTCTTTGGAGTCGAAGTTGAAATTTTAGAGTTGGCGTTTTCAGCTGATTTTATTCCAACTCTCTTTCTTCCTGTTTGAGAAACAAAGTATTTTAAAGCTTTAAGCCGCGTGAAACGTTTTGTATTTTCTGACAGAACGCACTAGAAATATATCCTCAATGCACCAATTTGAAGTTTCCACGGTTATTTACAATAGCAAAAAATATTGGAAACCAGTCGAGCTCAAAAAAATTAATCATGGCGGAACCAAACGCAAATTACGAGGCAAGGCGCGAAAAACTGATGATTACTTTCACCTCCTTAGTAAACAAGAGAGTCTTTGGGCTTTTGGCCTTTATATTCAGTTTTTGGCGTTTAGCACCTCAGTTTTAAACTTATAATCTACAACTTATTATGGCTTTATTTTATTAGTCTGACGCCATTTTTCTTTTAATTCCATCATAAAAGTGTCATATGGAAATTAAATAACTCCCTCTTTGAACCCCACCTCTTTTTATTTCAGCACCAAAGTTTCCACTGCTACAGCGTATGAAGACATTCCACAATAGAAGGAGATGAAGTATGCAGGTCATTTCTGTTCAAAGAACAATGTGAATATCTCTAAAGGCAAGAAGTATTAGGTTACAAGCTCCAACAGAGGGGTTACTAGATGCAGAAACATCGAGGATCTCACATAACGAAAGTGGAAAAGAACAGTAATAACAGTAACACTGCTCTTTATTTTTACGAGTGACAGAAAGAGGAAAAATTTAGAATATTTTGGTTACGACCACTCCACACATCCTCCTTTTTTTTTTTTTTTGTCCTTGTCTTTATTTTTCTTGCTTATAGTTTGCGACTATGGACATCGGATATCTTTGCATTCCCGTTTTCTCTATAAAGAAATCAAACCGCTTTGAAAAAAACTTTTCAGCTGCTTTTCTGGCGGTATATATACTTAAATTTATCACTTATCATTATTCGTGTTACTTTTTTTACTACCTAGAATGGCAATTCAAACGCATACATTTTTTTAAACATATTTGTGTTTAAATTTCAAATATTTTCTCTCGAACTAGCAAAAATAAGTCCCCGTCTTCTTTACCTTCAAAACTTCGCCTTAACCGCATAATACTGTACTGAAATGGCAATAGAAAGCAATAGTCCAATCAAAGCTGTCGCGCAACGTAACCAAAAAAAAAAGTGTGGCATATCACAAAAACTTCACTAACCTTTAACTCGTCGAGATCGTCTTGTTGGTGTTTAGATTCCCCTTCTTTGATATTCACTTGCTAAAATCACTCGTTCTTTAGATATGCATAATAAATTTTATGTAACACTGTAGAACCTACAATTACCAACTAAAGTAAACTTTTTACTGGTCTTATTTTAGGAACAATGGTCAGTACATGTTGTGGTGCCGAGATCAAGGCAGGTAGACAAACGGAATTTCATGGTGCTGGAATTTAGACGGGTAGATAACATGCCAGGAATCACTTTGTTTGTTGAAGATCTAAAGAACCTCAAACGTGGCCATGCTGTGGGATATATATTTTATATACAATAGACATGCTTTTCTTTCGAGACTATGTAACGGTTATCGCTGCAGCTCTTCAGGCATATTAATTACTCGTAAGTTACGTTTTAGAAACTTTCTGCTGTACTCGGGAAATCCAATATCCTCTGGCTTCTTTTCTTTTTTGTGCAAGTCAAAGGTATCTTTTTGTCCTAATCTCCTCGAGCTTTTCCAAAAATGCCAAAATGCTGCTGGGAAGTCAGTGAAATTGCATTCGGTAGAAGCTTCACATTAACCACCACTCTAATAGTAGCTGGACACTGCTACAATACAGTTGGAGTGTCTCTCGCAGTGCGAGAGACTACACTCCAACTGGATCTTAGTAAATGATTTTAACGCTTTAATTTATTTCTCTCTTTATTTTTTATTTTTACTCTTTGTCGAAATTAAGTGAAATACTAGATGGAATACTTTACATCAGAAACTTGACCAGCAATCCAGTTACTGATCACGGCAACGTTTACTCATTCTTAAAATTTGTCCGTTCTTTCATACCCTTTATCTCCAACTATGCCGGTATTTTTTGCGCGTGTGTCAGCTCTAACGACATATGAACGCGGGAACTGATTCTTGTGGAATTACTTATCAAACTTATGGCTGTATTCTGGAAATCCGGCGTTATTCATAACGTCATCTTCAAGTTCAATGGATTTGTCTTTTGTTTGTCCCCTAAAATATAATAGAAATATAATAGACCTTAATGGAATAGTCTACAAGATAATTATTAAGTGTTCAGTAACAGTTATAGCTGTTATCATTAATAAGATGTGTTAATAAAGGAGTAACAGGCGAGATCTTTCAGCCTCCAAATTCGAAGATACTCAGACTCATTTGAGCCGAATCTTTTAGCCATAGAGATTGCAATTGCAATGGTAAAAATGAACGTTTATTTCAAAGAAGATAAAAAAGGAAACAACCAAACATAAAAATACCTACCCATCACAGAAGCCGCATGAAACCACACAGTAGTCTCGGATGTTGATCTCGTCAGTGAGTGAAAGTGGACTGTTACACCATCCAAATTTTACTAGCATGGGACACCGAGGATCGTAATCCCTACAAGGACCTACATAGAAGAAACACAGGTCATTCAATAGACTGAAGTAATGTACTTAAGGCCCGTTACGCCTTTAAGTTTCCATAGGAAGCCTTAAGCAAAGCAAACAAGCAACATGAAAAGCACATTAAAAAAAAGAGAAAAAAAATCGAGTTTTTGGAACTTAAACGTAAAGCGCGGTGCTTAAATAGCATGAAGACTAGGCAAGAGACTGAGCAGAATTTTCTTGCTGTGAAAGAATTAAAACTCCATAACAATAACAAATTGATGTTTCCAATCTTAGCTAATAACTACCGTAGACGTCAGGCTTTGGCGAGGTAACTGAATCATGCTTCCCATGAAGATCGGCCATCATAAGGGCATCGGAAGACATGCTTCCTTGTTGAACCCAGATTGGAGCTGGTGTACCCAAGGCAGTATTTGCTTTCGTAAACGCCTTTCTATAGCCTGAAGAATGATGACGTATTCTTTCCCTCATAATTGTATGATTTTTTATGGGCTTGTTCGCCGTTTTTGGTAATGTTACAGGGAGCGTCCGAGAGCCCTGCCTAATGTTTTCCTTTTTGGTCAGAGTCGTCACGGATGTGGGTTTGATTTTAAGTTTCCTTTGTAAAACTAATCCTTTCCTATTGCGTCCTCCATAAGGCGAAGCTTCATCATGAGTGGTCAACTGTCCTAATCGGTTATTCTTAGTTATATGTGCGGAAGGGACAAATTGAGAGTCATTTACTTGCGATCTGGATGTGCTGGAGCTGATATTGTTTGGTGGCAATTTTTGGGCAATGCCTTCCGATTTTTTCGTAGCCTGCGTGGAATTTGAGGAAGGAATAGATATTTGAGAAGTCGGATGCAGTCGATGAATACACGTAGAATTCCCGGAAGAACACTTTGCCGCGGGCGGCTGACCTTTCGGTGTTATTCCTGAAGAATGAAGTTTCAATTGGTCGCTGTTGCCGGTGCCATGAGGGGTATTCAAGATGGGCTGTTGAAAGTTGTTGCTCGAGAATTGCTCTAGATTTCTAGTAGGTTGTTTCTTTCCGACACCACTGCTTTTTGACATCCTTAAAGTCCCGAACAAGGAATGGAAAATTTTAATGTTATGAGCGGGAAAATTCTGAGTTTGAACCACTGGGATAGGAAGCAATTGAATCTTTAATGGCACTGAAAAGGAAAAGGACGCATAAATTTAAATACGGCTCTCATTTCTTGCCCTGTGAATGAAAATACAGGCAGTATCAAAGCATGGTACCAGCTATTGCTTCATCAACGACTTCTAACTTTCAGATTCGCGATCGTACGATACATTGTTTAGATGACTGGCGTACACTTGACCGAGGACATTTATCCTGTGCTATTAGGGATTTCCACCTAACTTCTGTTTTGCACAGGTTTATACCAAACGGTCTTTGATTAATACAGACCATGTAACGACGTAAAGTCCCCTTAAAGTAATCTTACCTGGTGCATTTCCGTTTGGTTTTTGTGTGCTGCTGGTTTTTGAAGGAAGTGCCTTTTCATTTTGCAAAGCAGTTTTTCTTGGTATGACTGGGTTCCATGTAGCTTCCATTATATGGCCAAGTAATTTCTTGTCCCCGCCATTAACAACGTCGGAGTGAAGAGACGATTCCTTCGAATTTGAAAGCAAGTTTGTTCTCATCTGGTCCCCAATTGGTTCTTGTGATGTATCTATGAAGTTCATCTTTAATCCCTCTTCTTTATTATTATAATTTTCTGCAGTCTGCTGATGAGTTCTTGCGCTTCCACCTTGTTCATGATACCCTGCTTTTACCATCATCTTCGTTAGTGTTCCCATATGGACTCGTTGGATATTTTGAAAGCCAATAGCTTTAGCTGAAGTTTTGTTTTTCAACCTGGAATTTAACAAACCCTTGAGTTCGACGCTGAACAAATGAGACGTCCCAGAGTCTGTCAAAATAAAATGTGAATATCCAAGAGAATTGAGTATTTGGCCACTAAAGGCTTATTGCCTGACTGCCAGAGCTTGTTTCCTGTTTTCACAACATCGCGCTAAGATCTCATGTAACCCCCTGAAATTTTTACTATTTTTTTACGAGGGTATCCATTTTAGAAGGAGTGTCTTGCTCAAGAACGCGGTAAGCGACAACGTAACAGGACAAACAACAAGCTCAAATTCCCATGCTTTACAAAGTCTTCGTACAAGTACATCTACATTAATAGTGACCTCATAATTTGTTTTTCAAAGTCCTCCAAAACTAATTTTCTGATCATTTAGATGACAGAATATCTCAAAACATAGTGTTTTTTTCCCGAAATTCATAACATGCATTGCTGCTAAATTTCTTTTATCTGCAGCGTTTTATTACGAGCAGCACATACCTTTCCCCAATTTCGGAGAAATTTGTCTAGGCTTGATCTCAAGTGAAGGAATAACAATGCTAAACGAAACACATAAGAAGAGTGCATACGATAAAAAATCCATTCGAATCATTCGAGAGAACATAGTCTCAGCCATTAAAGACATTCCTCCGAATGTTAATTATTGACCAGCATCTATGGATACAATGAACTAAAAAAATATGGAGGCGTTAGAGAAGTGTAACATGACCTGCCTGTTTGTTTTTAGCGTGAATTAGTGACTGACCGAACCACACCTTTTTTTTTTTGTTCCTGTTTCACTATGGATAATGGTTTTCTTGCAATCGTTGTAGCGGTAACAGGGTGTATAGACAAATTAATAATGGCAAAGTATACCGGCATAGGTGCATAGGTATCAAGTTATCGCTACTAAGGGAAAAGGAATGGAAGTTGGGTGGCAAGTGGCACCAATTTGGAGTAAACAGGAGTACATCTATTCCCTTTTTTATGGGTCACTTATTAATCCATTTAAGTCGTACATGATAAAAATGTAGACAAATAAATCATCACTTTTCGTTATACTTTGAATTTTCTTTGTCTATCCTTATCGCTTGAATGGGGCACTAATCTATTGAAGCCATATGTAATAAAATGTAGACAATTAACAGTTCATAGCGATCGTTTTTTTTTTTTTTAACCCCGTTAGATAGTTGAATCATGATATTGACTCAAATAATGAGATTCTCATTTTATTAACAGCTAATTTAAACATTGAAGATACAACCTCTCCTATAAACGGACCGATAACTTTGATAAAGCTGCATTTCCATGCCGAGATTGATAGTCGTGCTCCTTCTAAAACAACTGCAAAGTCGATATCGACGACCAACATCCGGTGTTCATGTACATTTTATTTATTGAAATGAAGTAAATAGTCCTTTGAACCTGTTAACTCTCTACAATCGCTTCATCGCCTATCAAAGCTTTATTACCCTGCAAACTTAGAATATCTTAATATGTTTATTTTAACAAATAAGTTAATATGAAATATTTTTGAAATGTGACGATAGCAGGGGGTGCGTTTAAGAAAGTCGTTTGAGCAAGAATGACAAAGCTAATTTTATATACAATAGACATGCTTTTCTTTCGAGACTATGTAACGGTTATCGCTGCAGCTCTTCAGGCATATTAATTACTCGTAAGTTACGTTTTAGAAACTTTCTGCTGTACTCGGGAAATCCAATATCCTCTGGCTTCTTTTCTTTTTTGTGCAAGTCAAAGGTATCTTTTTGTCCATGTTTCACGAAACTGTGGGAGATCAACGCAAGAAAAAGTATAAACAAAGAATATATATAAAGAAAAAAGGGAGCTATGCCATATTTCAATTCCTGAGACTTGGCTGTTTCACAGGTTTTCATATACCATGAACAGCAACATTATATAGGTGAAGAGAATAAACAAAGCTTTCTCGCAATTTTTGTGACATAACTGCCTAATGGATTCTTCGAGACTGGGACCTTTAACTGCAGTATGAAAAAATTAAATAAATAAAACGCTATTTGCATGCAAACGTACCTGTTGCAGACGCCGCACGACCGCATACAAACCTCACGAACATTAAATACCTCTAAAAAAGGATTGGGCTGATCACACAGGCCACTCAAGAGAAAAGAAGGACAGTCAGGGTGGTAATCTTCACACTGACCTGGACGAGGACAAACACGTTTAGCCGCAAAAGTATTTATGAACCTTCTGCTTATCTGGTAGGTGTAAAAGGATCGTTTAACGAATTGTTGTAATGACAGCAGGACCTGAATTGTCTACGCGTTATTTGCTGCGACATAATGTTGTAATCTACGGATTGAATAATCGACGTAGGTGTGGACATAAACAACGTCAATTTTCATCTTTGCTACAAAACAGTAACTAATTGCGTAGAAAAGGTTGTGGTTATTCATCGTGGTGAATAACAATAAAAGCTAATTTTTTTAACTAAGGAATATAATTACTAACTATTAATAACTAATAACTAAACTATTAATAACTAATTAATCTCAATAGTAAAAACTCAGCAAAAAACATTAACAGAATGAAAAGTGATTTAATACTATTTCTAAATGAATTAGTTCTTACCAGCAAAAATGTCGTGTTTGTCTGTTTTGCGAAATGAGCTGATTTTAGGAGCACTTGTTGCAGGTGGAAGAGTCATATACATATTCGATTGAGGATGAATTGAGACTGATCCAGGATCAGTTCCAAATGGTAATGAGCTAGGGGGCATGGGTAAGGGAGCAAGGTTCTGAGGGAACCACCCTGGTCTCTGAGGATAATGTACAGGAATAGGTGGGCCTGCCAGCACCTCAGGGGGAGCCTCTTTTGTTGGTTTTGTTGTTTCCTTGGGCTTTAAAGTAGTTGTTTCCTTCGTAGTCGGTACAGTTGGTTTTGCTGTTGATATGAGTGGACAACAGCCAGGTCCACAAACTATTTGGCATAAAACAATTGGTTGTTGCTGATGTGACTGACTGCTCGCTTTATTGTTTGGTTTTGTGGGCGAAGATTTGCCATCAGGCGCACCACCCTTAACTGCGGTCGTAGAAATTGGCTTGTTTTTCGAACCATCAGGTTTTCCAGAGTGCGCTTCTTTGTTGGATGTACTCGACGGAGGAGTGGTGGGATTTGGATTTCTAGAGGTTCCCGATTTCGCTAAAGTTTCTGCCGGCGCGCTCGTAGGTTCTAACTTTGCCGAGCTTTTATTCACAGGCGTTGGCTTTGAAGAACTAGGTACTTGGTTGCTACCATTTCCTGATTTTCCTGGTTTAGAGCTGGCAGAACCTGAGGGATTTTGGTTTCCTGAAGACGATGACGGGTTATGGGGTGCCTCTGGCCCTTTTCCGTTTTTACCCCCTCGGTTGCCTGCGTTAGGGGCTGCAGCTGCACTACTAGTTGTTGGGGTCGGAGTCTGAATGGTTTCTCCATTGCCCTCACGTTGGTTTGTATTATTTGGGGCCTGAGGCTGAAGTTTTTGGGAATTTTCTGATCCTGCTGTCTGTATTGATGGAAGTGCTTGGATCGGAATGGTTTGAATTGGAAGGACTGGTATAGATAACAACGGGGTTTGAATAACTGGCACCACACCTGTTGTAACAAATGCAAAATACGTTTCAAACGAGGATCAGTTATACAGAAATAAGTAGCATGTGTTTTGGAGTTACATCTTACATATTCAAGAGTTGTGTCTCAAAATCTCCAGCGTGTTAGGAAAATGGAAACATTTTGCTTAAATGACGTAATCACCCGTCTTGAAGTTAAAAATATCTCAGTTCATTTTTTCAATATCATCGGTCAAATAGATATTTTCCGAATTATGATTTTTAAGAGGATTTTAAAACGTATTTTCTTATTTGTAATTTCTGTAACACCTGGTGGACTAGAAGCACCTCCGGAAGTTCCTCCTGTTCCCCCTGTTCCTCCTGTCCCTCCTGTCCCTCCTGGTCCAGAACTACTGGGATTCGCTACACCGCCAGTTGTTGTTTGGGGAATTGATCCTGATACTTGGTTACTACCCGCCTTATTTGGATTACCTGTGGTACCTGGAGTGACTGCGCCACTGGAAACAGCTGGGGCTACTCCTGGAACTCCTTTCACCTGGCCTCCACCCATCTGATTTGGATTTTCTGAGGTAACGGAGCTGCCTGCCCCATTACTGCTTGGTGATCCTTCAGAGGGAATACCATTTCCTTGATTACCACCAGATGGATTAGGATTAGCTGCTGTAGGAGGGCTGGCTGCCCCATTAGCTGAAACTTCACCCGTTGCTCCTTGTCCCTGGCTGACACCGCCTTGCACTGATCCATTTGTAGAAGCAGTTGACGGGCTCATTGCACTATTAGTGCCAGACCCTTGAGTAGTGACCTTCCCACCAGTTTGACCAGACGATGCCTGCCCTGCTGACCCATTATTATTTGGTAATGGGTTCATAGGAACTTGACTTACTGAGTCTTGGAGCTCATTTTGTGGGCTGTCATTAATGCTATTGACATTATGGAGCGGATTTTCTGCAGCTAAAGTCGGATTAAATACAAATCCTTCATCATTCCAATTATTTAGAGGAGCGGCTGCAAGAGTTGTTCCCACTTCATAAGTAGTACGTGTGGGTCGCGTGCCAAGATTTCCTGTGGTTGATGGTCTTTGAGAAGGATGAACACCTGGACCCGGATACGAGGCATCATGCTGTGTACTGTCACCTCCCAAGGCGGAGATCCAAGAATCTATTGCTTTAGTTTTAAGAAAACGGGAAACATAAGTAAAACTGATCATCTTAACTCAAACTAAGTATATCATAACTGAGTAATAAAAAGTTTTAATACCAAAATGAAGTGGGACCTGGGCATGAAATTCATTCCACCGCCCTAGAAGTCAAAGTAAGCCTTCCAATTTATGGTGAACTTATGTGGCATTCAGTACTTAGCCTTTCTTCATATCTTCATCCACTACTATTCCTTCCTGACTTACAATACTGTTTCACCAAACCAACCTGATTTATCCCCATCCAATTGGTCAAGAATTGGTGGAAGACCTTGCAATAAGTCGTTATCTGTGTAGGGAGCCTCTTCTATCTCGTTGGCATCTAAAGAATTTTCTTCTTTGTAATACCCACTATGTTTTCCCTTTTGAATGACGGACGGATCAGAAACAACTACATTTGCATTGAGCGTCTTAGAGTCGGTCACTGTGGAGTTACACAGATAAGGAAATAATGTTTCAAAAGGAAATGGTACGTACATACATAAGTATAAATATAGGGCCAGGGGTCATGGAAAGAGTTGGAGAAAGACCTCATGATAGTATTAAAAGTCACGAGTTTAGTAAAGATAAGCTCATGGAAATACAGAAATTCGACAGAAAGGAAAAAAACAACAACTTTTGAAATATGTCATTTTGTTCTTAGTATGTGAGAACTGCTGAGTATCATTCATAACCTGAGCAATATGGCCAAAGAGATTTGGGAGACACTGTATACAATTTTCAGCACAGCTTTTATCTTTCTGTTTTATTTTACGGTCTTTTTAAGCGAAAACGTCAATCATGAACAAACAGTTTCTAAGACATGGTTTGATGCTACTCTGGTTTACAGATTTAATGAATGTAACCAAAGAAGTTACGATTCATAGACCCAACGTTTCGACACTCCTGTCTAGTCGAAAACCTTGGGTCTATGAATCGTAACTTCTTTGGTTACATTCATTAAATCTGTAAACCAGAGTAGCATCAAACCATGTCTGATTGTCAACCTGGTTGCCGTGTGAACTTTAACATATTACACAGATTCTAGTTCGCTGATAATAGTTACATGTCAATAAGAATAATATATCCCAGATTTTTCCATCCTCTCTTTTGTTCCTTGATTTCAATTTTTAAAGCGCAGGCAATAAAATTACTCGCTATTAGCCTTACTCTAGACAAGCATGTACCTCCATTTAAAAATCCAACCACTGTACCGGACATTGCTGGCAAATACTTGATAACCGGAACCTTGAAAGCGTAGAGTGGTGAATCAGCAATGGTTGCCAACTGCTTCATATCTGCTTGACCACCCACACCTATGGTTACGACTCTCACACTTAATCTGCTTAGTTCTTTCGCCGCGTTAGAAACGTCATCCACCGATTTTCCAGCCATGACCACCACCACGGCTTTTGGAGAACCACTTGGCATTTTCATGAAAACATTTTTATTTAAGATCTCAAGAGACTTTCCCAACTCGCAACTTCCACTTACGGGGATAAGCTTGTCAAGTGTGAGGTCAAGTACTTTGGAATTTTGAATTTTTCTGGGAAGGATGTTTCTCTGGGTGTAACGTCTACTGCCACATTCTAGAAGCCCAAACGTAATTCCTCTCGTAGGAATGTTTAAGTTTTTATACACCTTTTTCACAAACAGTCTGTACGAGCTAAGGTCCTCATTGCCGATTTTTCCTGAGCCATCTAGTAAGAACACCACTTTTGCCGAGCCTGAAATAATTAAAGAAATTGGCTTTAAGACGAAAGACCCTTGAATAATTTTCTTAATGAAAATCATTTACGTATAATACGACATCTTGAATCTCATCTGTCTTCGAGGCAGTTGATTATCAAAAGAAGAAGAGGTGTAAGGAGATGATGATGGAATAAAAGGAGAAAGAAGAAGAAGAAATGAATGTCTTTCCAATGTCTGGATCAGAAACCATCTATTACGAACAGAATCAGAATTTTTCACCGCTCATTATTCTACCTTTGAACTCCTATTGCTTTAATATGTTCCTTCAGATATCTGAAGTCTTATTCTACTCTTATTGTACTATCTTCCCCTCTACCCTGCCTCACTTTAACAATCATCTATCTCATACCCCTATCCTGTTCGACTGTAATCAACACCTCGTTTAACTAAACTGAAATTACTCTTTTTTCTTACCAGCTGGTCGTAACGATGCATCTTCCTTTTCTTTGATGAATGACGCGATCCTCTCCAGATAGTCCCGACCTGAGGATCTTTTAGATAAGTTTTTAAAGGGTTCGTGTCTTCCAGTTGCGAGGGCCTGTCTTATTTTCCAAAGTTGGACGTATTTTTTGTGCTTCAAGCTGTCCCTGGACGGTGTCATGTTTAATGGACGTACCTTTTCAATTAACCATCTGCGTTCACGATGAAAGGACGATGAAACTAAAAACGATCAATTTCATTATATTAGTGAGGAACTCCTGTGCTTCGGCTTCATCTCGATTCATTATATACTTTTATTCTACCATGACTTAAAGCAGTCACTTGCTCCTTCTTTTCAGGCCTCCATTCAAGAAATCTTTTTGCTTAATACTATTATTTGTCCTCATTAACTTGATTTCATACCATTGCCACAATAAACGTATCTTGTAATGATATGAATCCTTACAGTAACAAAAATAAGATTCGCATGTTCTCCCAAAATCACGTATTTTCTTTAATACTTTTCACAATCAATTTGCACAAATGGAATTTGGCACCCTCTAAGAACTGGTTTCTCCAATTGATCACGTCTGATACAATGAATGTTTGGCTGACCCAGAAATTACGACGTAAATATTAAGACGGCAGAGTTTGTGCTCGGTCGCTGGAGATGGATCAAGATTGTTATTTCTCACTAGCGTGGGACGAAGCTCTAAGGGGTACGCATATTCTTCATTGGTCTCACTCTGCAACAGTTTTATTTAAATTTAAGATTATTTTAATGAAACTGCTTTCAACTGAAAGAATGATCATTAAGCAAGGATAACCCAGTGAACTTATGTACTTAAGATTTCTCCTTGTCGCTCAAGGCTTAGTAAATTTATTCTGTAATAAGGAAACAGTAATACACAAGCACATCCACTAATATATCTATTCTGTCAGTTTCAGGCGTTTTTCGATCAGAGATCTAGCGGTAACACTAAGTTAAATTTGTTTCGAAAAAAAAAATTAATTAAATCATCGAGTTCCAGGATATTTATTGGCTTGATTGAGTTATGCATCAACAAAAATTACTTGGAAAAAATAACTTATCACTCAATTGTCATGTAACTGCTTTTGATGTAAGTCTAGGGGCTGTCTAGATCCCAAAATAATGATCGAGATATATACATACCGGAAGTATCCTTAAATTGTGGTGGTCTTGGTATCCCGCCTACAACTTCCAACAAAAAAATGTACGCCAAAAATAGAATGGAAACATAGTGCTTTTGTAGTAAAATATCTAAAATGTGGACGTTTTTCACCATAGTGACTCATTTTAAATCCACCGATATGGACCAGGTATTATGTTTCTCGTGAGCCATCGTCATTTTAACGTTATATTCAATTTCCACGGCGATAAGCAATCTTCAAAATTACTTATGCTAGTTGAAGAATTAAGTGGGAGGTAAAGAACACTTGACCCGTTAATTCAGACCTCAATATAAGACCAACAAAACCCTTTTCAAGCCAACTGGTGGTCTGCACTTAAAAGTTATGCATCAATTATTAACTACCGCCAATTTTAGAACCCTTTATTCTTCAATAACATAACCTACACATTAATATACCAGAATAAACGTTGGTCAGACATCATAGGTACAATGTATCACTTTCCCAGAACTCAAAAGATAATTCCTACTTCTTTTTTCCTCTTTTTATTTCTTTTGGAATGACAATGTAAAAGCTTCTTTGTTAAAAATGCTACTTTTATTTCTCGTTTAATTTCATACTTATCTTTACCACAACGTATTAAACGCTTGATGAGATCAAGCGCTTTGAAGAAGTCAAAACAAGTTACTAAGTCCTAGGTAAATGATGTCGATCCTGGCGATTTTTATTTCTCTCTCTCTCTCTCTCTCTCTCTCTCTCTCTCTCTCTATCTCTCTCTCTCTCTCTCTCTCTCTCCCTCGATGAACATTAACTACAATGTGGACAATGAGGAAAAAATTAGATACTACCAAGATTGCCTGAGCTGTCTTTGGTCACACAGTTAGGATAACAATTACTGGAGTCTCAAGAAACTCGTCCTAGGTTTATGGTGCTAAGATTAAAACATATCAATCCGATTGGCTCGGCCATAGTAGACGTCGTTCAGCCCTTACATTGTGTTTCTAGTCTAAGGAAAAAAACCCGAACCACAAAGGGATCATGGATTATTCCAGTTAGCTCCAACAAAATCTACCTCCCCATTTCGTACGTTCCTAAAATTAAACAATAAAAAAATTAAACAAATACTGAAAACATACTCAATTGAGCTAATTGGAACAGTACTAATGATATTGTTGTTGATGACAATATCACTAATGATGATCATGTTAACGATAGTGATTATGGTAAATATACTTATAATAGTAATAAGAATGACAATGATAATAGCATCACTCATCCATAAAAAATATATCAAGGAGCATCATTCATCCAAAAAAACGAAAATCAATTCTTAAACCATATAAGGGAACCTGGCTATGCCTAACTATACACCATCGAGTGATGTTGTTTGTAGGCTAGGGCAAGTCTCTAAGAAAGCGCTATCTAAAGAGACTGTTTGCTGTTTATTACTTAGAAGCTTAAAATAAAAGCTCAGACGTACTTTTTGCAGTATCCACATGAAAGTGCGCATGTCTCATGGATGTCGCGGAGGTCTTGGAAGAGTCCAGGCCAATCACAAAGTCCGTTTAACGCGTAGGAGCCACATAATGGATGCTGGTCTTTGCAAAGACCTGCAAATAAGGATTTGTAGAGTATATTCAGACAATGTTTCGGTTCTGTGAATGAATTAGGAAATTCATGCTAACTCCCCATTGATTAGTGGGAAAGGACACACGGTAATTGCTTCGCGGAGGGATACAAGGGGCTTTGCATCACCTCATGATCCATTTTTAAGGGTTGAAGGGGGGGGGGGATAAATCGCTCGCTTGTCTGTAGTCAAGATCAAGGTATTCAAAAAGCTAAAAAGTTTAGTTTTCTTTGCCAACAGATTCCTAATTTACAGGAAATATCAGTCCATTCCTAAATGTTTTACCTAAGCTACATAACATCAAAATTCATTAAAAGCAGCAAATAATTAAATAAGCATCTAACAGCACTTTTAAAAGGTACAGATATAGCCTTACCAACTTTAAGTGGAACAGTGTACACCTGCAAACTCTTTCGCAAAGGACGAGGCTGCCTGCTCTCTTTGTGTCTGACTTTGGTTCTTGTTAAAATGAGATCCCAAAGTAACTTTGCTCGAGCAGCTTTATCGCCATCGTCCTCTTTGTAATGGCTGTCGAGCCTCTTGAGGGCTGTAATGAGTAGTTCAATCAAAAATGAAGAGTGACCCTTATGAATAAGACAAATCGTAGCACCAAATAATAATGGGATAACCACCAAATCAGTTCATGTATAAGGTATGGCTGATATGGATTAAGCTTTTATACATTGATCGTATTACGAGCAAAATACGACACCATTTAACCCGTTTGCGGATTACATGAACTGAAAGATTCATTTGTGAATCTATAACCTAGCAGAAAAGTCTTAAAAATAAAATGACAACTGATGTACTTTACCCGAGTGATGGTTTCTCGGACGAGTCACGAAGACTAATGGTATGGCTACGAATAATAAGCAGAGAAATAGTCCAAAACGGGCGATCATTATTATAGCGGCGAGCCAGCATTTAGTCGTTTCCAGTCGAGACTACAATGAATAATCGATAGCCTCCCTAAGTCGATTGCTTCCCTTCTAAGTGGTTTACGACAGGGGGTTTTGTTTGTCTGGGGTGCGGCTATTCACCCTTGAATATCCTGATGATTGACATGGGGAGTAAATAGGGCGAATGAAGTTTTATACCAGTAATATTATCAGTTTTACAAATCTTCATTTGCTAATAAGCAAGATGATGGTTAACCTGAAAAAATAGCATATGGAAAAAATAAACATACAGAAGACTTTACTGACATATCACTTGAAGTCCTAGATAATAATTATCAGTGGTGTATGTCCTAATGAGTAAGATAACAAAACCACCCGCTAACAAACCAACCATAATATGATATCTGATCTAATCGCTTTCCAGCCTGGTGATACGACCTTTGATCAGCTTTACTGCCTCTTTCATTGCTAACATGATTAAAACAAATGCAAATTGAATATTTTACACTACAAAGGTTATATCTGCACTTTCCTGACTAATTCCAGTTTCATCGGACTGTGACACCGTACTCGAAAGAAAGTTTGTTCATAATCAAGGCTGGTTACAAACAAAGTGTTCGATCGTGTATTGATGTAGGTTAGATTAAAGATGTCTGGTAAGGTTCAATTTTTAGATCGGTTGCGAAGGAAACTTGTCCAAAAATATGTGCTCCAGTCATTTCCATGCGCTTTTTATCTTTGGAATTTTATGAAATTTGCTTCATGTCCAAGCCACATTGCTTTAATGACTGTGTTGCTACGCTTTAACAATCCCATGATTGTTCACCCTGAGTCTCTGTCTCTACTACTTCTTTATTCAGTGTATTTATTAAATAAAACAAAGAAGAAAGGAAAAATGCTTATGGAATTAATTAGTCGGTGATCGAGGTTCCTTTAAGTCCTTGGCAGTGACTAGAATCGAACTTCTTCTTACAGTGGCACCGCTGGATCAAACGTTAAGGTCATGAGAATAGATGGAATGATTGCCACCTGGAGTTTCTCTTGATTGTTAGACAAATTCTCCTTGTCAATATCACAGGGGCATTTAAAGAACAATTTGTGAATACGCTTGCTGGTTTTAGCTTGCAAAAGGGTTAACAGAATTCGTAATAATGACGATTCCCCTTAAATCTCTTTAATTTTGGTTCAGGCCTTTGAGTAGTCCTTCATTCCTAGGACACTAGACTCTCGTCGCTTGGATGATCGCAATCGAGTCCAACATTGCAGATGTATTTGAGATTTGGCTTATTTGGAAGGAGAGCTCAACTAGTACCTTAGAGGCACCTGCGGGAATCCGGTCAAAGCCTTAGTTGTTTCAAGCTTCGTTTCTGCAACATCTTAACTTGCAGCTCGACTGCCACGATCTTTTTTTCACTTGTTCATAAACTGAACTATAACTCCGTAGTATCGTAAGGTTAAAGGTCGGATTACATCGTTAGATGGAGAAAATTATCGCAAAACCAGGTAATCTTCGTCCACAACGTAGAGTGTAACGAGGATTTTCTGATTGGTTGTGTAGTATAAACACGGCACTTATTTTCTCTACAATAATCAATGTGAAATTAAAACAATCTCACAAAATTCTAAAATTTATTTGGAATTATGCAACAATTTTTTTTACGCTCGTTTCTTTAGAAATAAAAATATATCCATCAAACTTAGCTTTTCGCCATTTAAATTATTCAAAGCTAAATTATTCTAAACTTATCGTCACTTTTCCCTTTTTGTTGCCATTTGTGGCTGTGCATGTATCACGGCTATCCTACAAAATAGCTATTCGTCGGGCAATTTAAGCCTCCCCATCTTTCGTAAAAGTAGAACTGTTTCGTGTGAGTTATTTCAATTTATCGAATGGTTCGCCCGATCCACTATTCAGTTCGTCTACTTCAGTAGGCTTCTCTGACTGAATCACACGACCCAAGGCCTGATGACTTTTCTTTACTCCAACTTGTTCTTCTTTAGAGTTGCTTTTAACATGTTGAGACTCGAGTGTTGAATTTCCCTCGAGATCCCTATTTCGAATGATTTGTACTAAGGCTCTGTTCAGTTTCGCACGCATTGCAGGCCTCACATGGAGTCCAGAAGGTGTCTGCCTTCGAAGAAGTGCCGCATTCTCGTCGTAACTGAAACAGAATAATCGGGAACAGATGTTTAGCTTTCGGTGATGTCTTTAGAGTATACGTTTAAGGAGCAGTGAATACTGGGTAAGGCGTAGAACATAAAAAACCAGTAAAGGAAGGATACTTGGAGTGGAAAGATGATTTACTCACTTATTACAAATCCCGCAAGAGAAAGGACATATTTTTCGTATTTGTTGAATGGTGTGAAAAGGCGATGCATGATTACACATTCCCCTCTTGGCATATTGTCTACATTCCGGTAGAACGTCGCGACACTGATCTGTTAAAAAAAAGAAAACAAAAAAACCACAATAATCGGGCTGATAAGGATAATAATGGGAGAAAAAGCAAAATCTTAGTGAAGAGAAAAAATGGATACCGTGCTAAATAAAATGCATTCATTTGTGGTAGTTTTACCAAATTGCCAATTGTTGATGCACACGTTTTACAAAGCTGTTTAACAATGATATTCAATCATCTTATTCTATGCATATCTATCTCAGTAGAGAAACTTTTTCGCAAAGTTAATTAAAATACTTCCTAAATGCTAGTAATGGCTTCTTTGTCATTTGATATAATAAACATAAAACTGTCAGTAAATTACCTATGAATATAGGGGGGCCTTTTAATGGATGATCCACCACTATTGGCCTGTTAGATATGATTGGAGGGGCTGGGTGGAGCGAAGCAGGCACCAAGGGTTGCCTTTCAGGAAAACACGGAGGATGGCACGGTCCCATAGCCGGCGGGGCTGGCACACAGGGTCCTAAGATTGGTGCATGTACTGGTGGTGCGGGTATACGGCACGGCGAGTGGCATGGACGTGGAATACATATTGGACGGCATGGGGGCCTAGGGCAAGGGTTACATGGTACACATACCATAGGGCAAGGGGGAGGTGGAGGTTTCTTTGGGGGAGGGGGTGGTGGCGGAGGTGGACTGGAACAGCAACAGCAGCAACAGCAGGCTGGAATCGTTAAGATTTCAATAAGAAACTGGACTATAGAAAACAAATACCTAAACATATGGATAACAAATCCCTAAACATATGAATAACAAATCCCTAAACAGAACTATCTGGTAAGATATAAATTTCTAATACTGGAGGTAGTAATAGAGGTATACTCTTCGATGTGAAGTGCTATTTCGCCAACTCCTCATCTAAATAAAGGCTACAAAGTACTTACGCGGTCGTGGACAAACTTGTTATGCGATATAAAAAGAAAAGAAAGTGAATTAGAATATGAGTAACATTTGAGTCTGAGATTATTGCAATCGAATAAAGTTTCAGCAAAGACAATTTGAGAGGAAAAATTTTATTCTATAAGCCATGACACTTACTTGGCCGAGGACAGCAGATGCATGATCCTAGGAAAAAAAATTGAACTTAGGATAGACATTTGCATTAATCTGATCTGCGACAGGATCTTGACGGACGTGCATTTTTTTTTTCGTTTTTTGATGACTTGCATACTGAAAGTATAGCCTTCACGAACATTTGAATTTGGGGCTTTCATTCAATGCACGGTAATTAAGATTAAGTGAGATTACCTGGTATCGTGGGTGGACCACACATTGCTGAAAGGAAATGACAAAGACACGTGTGTTATAACTTGTATTACACGCCAATGGACATCTTATCCAACGCTAAGGTAAAATAATGATATATTTTTCAATTTTATCGTTCCTTTTCTTCGCCAAGCTAGATAAAGGTGGTTCTTAGCCTTAAACGGATCTCTAGTGGCATGTATAACATTGAAACCACAACCGATACAAATAGGTAAATAGCTGATTCAGATATCATACCTCTGTTGGTCTTAATTCAAGAGTTATGAAAGCATTTCACTTGTTCGAAGTGATCGGGAGGCGATCTTAAGTGTTCCATCATGTTGTACTAAGCAGCCCATAATATTTGTGTAAACATGGATATACGCTTTCGATATCATGCACAACCTCAAAAAAGCTTGTTAATCACTCACATCCGGGACAACAAACCGAGCAACATCCAGGGCGTTCGCCGTAATAACAGGCACGCCTTCCAGCTTGGAGTTTGTTTGGAGCACCCATGTCATTTAGCTTTTTATAACTGAGGCTTAACAAGTAGTTGCTTCCATTTCCACTTTGCGCCTTGGCTGATTTATCAGGATATATTCTAATGATGGTCTCTTGGTTTTTATTCGTGATTTGAGGTAGTATAAGTTTTGCCACTTTCATCGGCATGTTAATGCGGTATGTGCTTCGCCTGGACGCCAATGAGCTGTTGTAGATATCTTTCACGTTGTAACGACGCGATGCATTGTGGTCTTTATCTTCAACTGAATGTTTCTCTAGAGTAAAAAAAATAAGGTGAAATACTTTATTGCACGTTTTCACACCTGAGGGTTTATCGTTATTTTTTATCGCGGTGCGAAACCAATCAAACATGATCAATAAGCACGGTTTGAAAGTAATGCTTCTTCGGAATTCTACCCTTTACTAGTATCATTTTTTTTATGCTTATCGTGAAGCATATAAACTGCAAACATATCAGTATCATTTCCTTCAGAATTGTCACTGTCTTTTTTTCCACTTACAAATGTCCCAGTCCACCTATTTTAGGAACGCTGGATTTTGACTTATTTAGCACGCAGCTCGGCTGGTCGATCTATGTGACATAAACCTCCTTAAGAATAAATGGTTGATACTTACAAAGCAATAGACTTCCAGTCTAAGAGTAAATTTAATTACGAAAATAATAAAAAGAAATTTATATTGCTCCTCTGCAGATTTCTATGTTTGTAGGAAACGAGGCCACTCAAAGAAATTTAATATGTGATTAACAAATACAATTCCTGAGGCTTAAGTGTGTTAATTTTTCGATTCAATTCTTTCTTTCGAAAGAACGAAAAAAACCATTAGTACCATTTAACATAAAGACAAATAGATTAAAAAAACAATAAATCAGCACCTCGGTTGATAATTTTAGCGCAATTCTACTCTAAATAATTGATGACTCTGAAACAAAGCCAAAGCCAAAGCCAAAAGAAATATTGACTACGAAAGAAATGATTACAAACCTGATTTCAGTCGCAATGTCGAAACATTGTGAATGCAGATTGCTACAAGAAATATTTTAAAATTTTCCAAAAGTCGAAGACACATGGTAAAACCCACTTGAGAAGGTTTCTCTGACAAAATGCCACATTAAATAGAAGTCTTTGTAGAGTGTAAATGTTCTTTTACCCATTCCTCTGTGGCATGTTTCAGTCTTCAGGAAATATCACATGTTAGTGAACTTTGCTATGTATTTTCAGTGCCGTAAATACAACTTCGGAAAAGCAGAGGTAAAAGTGGCTGGTGGTGTTTTTTCTAGGACAAACGACCACCTTAAAATGGAAATAAATAAAAAATCAGGTCGCAAAGGTCTTCAGCGTCTAAACACCAGCGCAGGTCATTTGAAACAAAAGTGTCGTCAAAAAACTTCAAACTTATCGCTTGTTCGGCCAAAGAGGGTAAAGTCACTCAACAATAACCAAAATTACCTCACGGCCCCAAAGAAAAACTCTTCTGACGTTGCTGAGTTGTACTGAAACCGGCAATGTAACATACATTGATTGGGACCAAACTGAGAAGATGAGATAAAGCAGCTGACGATTTAGATAAAAATGTCCTCAGGTCTTCTGGGATCAAGCATTTCGTGGTAAGACCAAAAATACTGATATCGTCTTTTAATTACACGGTTGAGGGATGAAATAATATTTAAACGTTAGATACATAATTTGAAAAGCTTGACCGAGCTATTGACGTTAAAATTGCTATTGCACTGTGTTCCTTCAATGTAGTTTCCAAGAAAGGGACTAAAGCCAGGTTATGGTCGATTATGCCATATAAGCTTTGTAAAGTCAGTTGTATCTAGTCTACATGAGTTGTGTGGTGAACGATCTATCTGTGCACTGGTTAATATAGATTGCAAAGGGCAACACTCGGTGAGACACTCGGTAAACCACTTAAATCCTTCTCTTAACATGATCGTGTCCTTATTGACTGAGTGTGAGGGGAGGACGGGAAAACATTTAGATTGGGGTCATGATGTACATTATCATATGGCCACTAAATTTTGAAAATTAAATAGGACTTTCTTGCCTAAAAACGAAGGGCACAAACTAGAAAACTACTGAAAAGACTACAGAAAAATTTTTTTTTTCCAGATTGCTATTTCCGTCCATGCACGCACGGGTCTACATACAGGAATCGTTTGTTTTTTCCACAAACACGCGCGGGGGATAGTGAGGGTCATGTGGGCGTTACGCAGTTACGAAGAACGGATCTGCCGTTGAGTTTTATTTGACTCTGATGATGACGTCGATAAACTTGTTCAAATTTGATATAGTATCACAGCAAAATCATCGGGATGCTCTCGCTCGTAAGATCGCATCACATCGACGAATTTCGGTAATTTTCTCATAATGTAAGAAAATTTGAGAAAACGCTGATGCTACGAGGGGAATAATATATTTTAACCAAAATATTATCATAGATCAATTCAACGTCAAAATACAAATCTACAAATAAGTTCATTGAGCACCAAGATCGCCTAGAAAGGGTATTTGTCGTAACTTAGGGCTACATAAGTATAACCGGTGTATTTGTCTTTCCCCATATTTAAAAGGTTTAATTTAGAGCTCCCAATGTAGCTGTTATTCAGGTTTGACTAAAACCGTCTCCATTATGAGGAGGTAGCTTAGTGTATGGGAACATCACGTCACTGGTTTGACATTTTCCTGCTTCTTCTTCTCTCTCCTTCTTCCTCTTTTAGTTCTTTCTTTTGGATTTTCTGAATTTGCGGCCTTCTTCCTTTGTATATTATCAGTTCGTTTTGGAATTTCGTCCCTCTTTATCCATATTCCTCCCGATGTATAATCTTGCTCTCTAAGAAATTAAAAGTTGCGATAAAAACGCATTTCCTCGGTGATCGAAAAAGAACAAAATAGCCAAATTAATTATATTTGACTTTACACATGGCGTTAACATTAAGAAATTAAATCTTGTGCCAACTAAACATTTCCACATAATCACGTTCAACTTTTGTTACTCACGCCACATAGATTGCTAGCTATGGGAAGTCATATGTGACAGGTATCACTCAAAAACTGTTGGACAGTTGCAACGAAATGTCGCTGTCATGGAGTTGTCGAATAAATTACCTTAAGGGTCTTGTTTTACGTCTTGGTTGCACAACAAGCCTATTATAAGATCTGATCGCGTGGAAAAATCAATCCGTGTAAAGAAACTTGAAAGAATCTTTAAACAAAGTGCGAGTGTGGTATCGTGTTAACTGGATTTAGTGAAAGGTATGTAACTTACGTCTTGCATAAGTTGCAACTCTTTTTGCACATCTTCATTAAGTAGTCATTACTAAAACCAATCGCATCTCCATCACAATACCCGTTGACGGTATATCCAGAACAGGCGGGGTCGTAATCTTCACATTGCGCTAAACAACAACGAGTGCAATAAACTTCATCAGGCAAATCTGACGATTTCATGAATTGTAGTAGAAAATTCAACGCACAAGAAAGAAACTGAAAAGGTCAGTGGCCTATCACTTTGGCGTTTCCACTTACCTCACAGTGTAAAAAAACGCGAACAAGTGGAAATTTAGAACTCTTGAAATACTGAGTTTTACAGTTCAAAATATGTGAGTCTCATTCACTGAAAATATTTAGAAAGAAGCTGTAACGGACTTCACAAGGTATGAGAAATTTAGTTTTTTCGTGCCAAAATACATCGTCTTTATATCTAGCTTGGGGCAATAATGCATACCACGAGAGCACTGCCTTCAAGAGGGTTATGTAACTGTTATTTAATTGGGTGAAATTCAACGGTGCTGAGGAAGAGAGCGTTACTACCCTGACGCGGTGCTTGCGTGTGCTTTAACTGCTTAACATCAAATGGATGACTCACTACTGTATTGATAGGAACTGCCAGGAAGAGTGTATGGATCTGGGGGCACAGGATTCCGTTGCATTTGTATTTCATAGTTCCAAATGTTAGGGGCTGGACTAAGCGCTTGAGGATGAACTGGGACGAGAGAAGGAACCAATGGAAGAACGGCTTCACTTGGTCCATTATTCCAAAACATGTTTGGCACAAGAGTACCTAATGTAGATTCGAGAAGTCAAGTCTCTCCCTGTCATAACTTAGTCTTAATCGATCGAGAGAATGAAAAGGTGAAATATGTATGAAATGACATGTATGCTTCGTTCTTCGTTAAAGTCCAAGAAAAGGAAGATCAAAACAAAAAGACCAATACCGACACAAGACGCAATACTAAGTTCTCTCCTTTGGGCCCAACGTTTATCATTGTCATTGAAAATATTTTTACCAATTGACTCAATTTTGTTTTTCATAAAAAGTGGTAAGTTAGATTCTTGATTTTTATACTCACCAGTTGAAGGTTCAGAAACATTTTGACCTGCAAGTGCATGCAAAAGATTAGGAAGTATTTCCAGTTTTTTTTCGAAAGTAAGGTAACAAAACCAGCACTGTGATGTTGAAAGTGAATCTAAATGTTACTTTTCTTGATGACGAGTTAAAGGAAATGAAAGGGTATTGGCGGAAGGGGGGTAGGAAGAGGGTCATTTCTTCGAATTTCAAGTGGCCTCTCCCACGTAATTCAAGTAGTCTTACCTGGCTTTTTTTCCGTGGTATTTTGAATAGGAATATCTATAGATAAAGAGACAGTATTAAATTCAGAGTCCTTTCGATCGGCTGCACGCACTAGTGCTATTGATCTCAATTAACGTGTGTGCGGCATCAAAAGCTATCAAACAGCCAATATGTCTTCATAAATGTCATAGGTTGGGCACAGTTTGGGGCTTTTGTTCCATTTGATTACCCCTATCTCTACTTATCTACCACTTTTGCGTGAACTAGCTTACGTTCTCAATTATGAGTCGACCAATCTATCTAGACTTAATTTTGTAGCGTACGTAAATAGAATGTCTTCTATAACATATGGAGAGCACAAAAATTCATCTCTAACTTTTCTCTAACCTTGCTTCAGTTTATTGGCCAGCTCTTTCCCAGGAATATTCGGTGGCTTGAGTGTATTGATAAGCACAGAGTTATTACATACCGGAGGACTTCCAATGTTGCAAAGCTCCATTTTATTAGCCTCAGGACATGCGCCGGCTGCAACTATTTTGACCTTTGCTTCTTTAAGAACTTTAGCTGGCCCAACTACGTCATCAGCTGACTTACCACACGTAATGTGTAGGAGAACACGCGATACACCAGATTCATTCGTTCTTCCAGCTCCATCAAAAACCTTCGTTCTCACAGCCTTCAGAGCTTTTCCCGAAAAAGCAGCGCCATAGGGCTTTGGAATTGACACTAAAACTTTGTTCATTTCGCTAGCATTGAAGTAGTTTTTGAGATTGAACACTATTTGGGTGTTGGAGCCGTAAACGACTACGGCCACGTGTGTTTCATTCAAGGAGACTGGAAAGCGACTATAGACGTCTTTTACAATGTCGAGCATTACCCTGAACAATGTCTCATTAACAATATCACTGCCTTCGACTAAGAAAACCAAATCAACTGGTCCTATCTTAGCTGCAAGGGGTTGACGAGATTTTGTTGCGTTTTGTGATTGAGGTTGTGGCTTTAACTCTGATGAAGGCTTCGTCTCTGTAAAGAGTAGAAGGCAAAAGTATGAAAATTATTTGAATAGGTCAAAAAAAGACCAACTATTTATGAATAAAGATGATGTAGATTGATAAACAAAAAAATAAAATTTAAAATTTTCCACCAAAAGAAACAACAACTACAAAGAAGTGCAAAAAAACTACAACAAACAAAAAAAAAGAAGAAACGGAACAAAAACAAAACAAAATAAACAAAGCTCTATCATATAGCAGGTGCCGGGTAATGTTGTCAAAAAAGACAGCGATACTTCATTTTGTTTGCGATTTTACTTTTATAAGGAGGTTCTCCACGGCATTTTGAATTGGGCCTGTAAAACTTCCTTATTAACCACTAAAAAGCACTCGCGATAGAAATCTCTGAATATTCTGCTGGAGAATACAAAGCAAACAAGAGGGACATTGAGAAGTTAAACGCAGAAGATGAACGGGGAACTTATTAAACCCTCTATGTGTGTAAATCTAATTTTCAAGGTGACTAAGGTACCACATCGTATAACTCAAACAAAAACACCCACACTGAAAGTACGTGTAAAATCATTAGAAGGCAAACTTACCATTATTACTACATTCTCTCACAGGACAAACAAGTCTTTTTCCAATTTCAATATCTTCAATAAACAAAGAAAACGAAAATCTTAATTTTTAGACGTTGTGTTCTTATCATCACCGCGCAGAATGCTTATTCTTGCGACATTTAGTTGCTTTAGCTAAAAAATTACAGATTTGTAATATTAGCGGCGAAACGTACACTCGTTGGTTTTATTGGTTTTCTATTCAAAATGCTACAAAAGCCTACCAAAGGTTGATTTGCACCTGAACTTCTACCAAAGGCAATTGCATGCCAAAATCGTATTTAAAATTATAAAATGAACAAACAAGTCACGTCGTTGCAAACCTACAATATATTTTCAAAAGGCGATTTTTATCAGCTCAGGATTTGATTACCCAAAGAGTTCAGCTGCTCGATTTCTTAGAATACGCTTCTAACCCTTGTAGACCTATCATCTACAAAAGGCTCATGGTTAGCACTAAGTATGAAAGCTTAAGTTTTTTGCAAGAGGTTATTAACATTTTGTCTACTGATATGCTACTTGGGGCTTTCTTTATTAACTCAGAATAGCCGCCTTGTAGTTGCTATGCCTGGAATTGTCCACCATGCCCTTGATTGTGTTTTCCCCTTTTTATTTTCTAATATGCTGGACCATAACTTTTGATTTGTCATGAATTAAGAATTGGCAAAAATTCTGGTATATTGATTAAATTGGGTGGCTGAAAATAAAACGCTCCATTTATCAAACCTCTTTCTAGTTTGTCCACAACTGCCTGCTTCATGGTTTCAATAGGTAGAATGCCTGGATCTGGTATAAAAAATTCTTTAGTGGGGTCACTGGTAATGTTGGAGGCAACGAATTCACTGACTTTGTTCTTGGACCCAACTGCATACATTAGGACACCTGCTTTGCTAATCTCAATTGCAGGCTTCGAAACATCATCATCAGATTTCCCATCCAACAAAGTGATCAGTACCTGGGGAATACCCCTTATTCCGCTGTTCCTAAACAAAGCAAGCGCTATTTCCATTCCTTGCCCAAAAGTACAGAGTCCGCCAGACAAGTGAGAAGCTGAAGACACTGCGACGGGGTTGTATGGTTGTGCTTTCAAACCTTGAACTATTTCAGCCCCATTAGAAACTGATATGAGAGCGGTGCGCACGCTTCGAGGATTCACTGTCAAAGAGTGCATTAAATTTCTCGCGAAATCCAAATGTCGAGGAAAATACTCTTTGGAGTTATTCCCACAGTTGCCTATTAAGAGCACAAAATCCAGTCTTGAATCTGAAAACAAATGAGATTCATAAACTATTGAAAAGGTGTTCGATGTTAGGAAAATGGTGCGTTGCACACGGCTGCACATGTATGTCTAGTCTTGTTTGATTATGGGTTTGTTCAGTCGTGTTCAAATTATTGCACTCACCTCCCGGCTGCACACAAAGTTCAGAGCGGGACTTTTGTATCGAGACAACTGTGGAGGCAACGTAGTTGTTGATATGAAAGCTCTTCGCTTTTGACTACTAATACATTCTCGGCATTGACATTTTTAAGCTACTGTAGATGAAACGCTATTTTTGCGGCTTTCGATGTTAAGGGTTGGTCATTGAAATAGATGCATTCCCGCCTATTTCCTATTATAAGATTTAAGAAAATAAAAATTTCAAGCAAGTTCAAATGTAATCAACGTAAGTATTGGGCAACAATAACGTTTTGCGGCAATACTGACTCATGTACCACTTATTTTAACACGTGACCTAGGCAGTCACATCGTTTTGACTATTACTTTTTCATAGGTCATCACCATGTCAAGAAAATCGTTAAAGAATTTTAAATACAAAAGAAAAGCCATAACTTTAAATATTTTTAATACATTAAAAGCAGATCAGTTTTCACTTATTTAGCCAATAAGAAGCCATGTGTTTCGAAGCCAAGTTCAGTTTCTAGCTGTTAGCGTCCGGCCCGCTCGCATTCCTTTGTACCGAAACACACGGCTGGAAACTGGGCCTAATGAGAAACTTACCCTTCTTTATTTTGGCAGCCATTTTCTGTGCCACTGAATTAGCTTCTGGAAAAGTTTCGCTGGTCAGTACATATTCAAAATGAGGCTCACTGGATGCAAGATCCAAAATCTGGGGACTGTAATTGGAAGTGAGTCCCAAAGCAAATAACAAGACGCAAGACATTTTCAACTCATTGATGTATCTTTCAATTTCGTCTGCAGGCGCTCCCGTCAATACAGAGATCAACACTTTAGGAACATTTGGTCGAGAATAAACATCAAATATGTGCGTTTTCACGTCTCTTAGAGCACTCCCCATCATACCTAGTCCAGAGAGGTAAGGAGCAGTGTTTATATCGTTGTCCATACCTTGGGGATCGTAATGCTTCTTCAAATTGAAAACGATCTGTGTCACTTCAGAATATACGACCACTGCAACATGAGTTCCATTAAGAGACACGCCGAATTTGTAATAGATAGCTTTAGTAATTTCTTTTATTTGGTTGAAATCCTCAAGTTTAGTGTTGGCACTTCCATCAATCAGAATGACCAGATCAATAGCATCTATAAGATAAAAGACTTTAATCAATTTATTCACATTTTATCCATATGTATGTCATCATAAAATACTTATGTTCTAAATGTGATCACTTTCCACAGCGATTTTCTATCATTTAAATGTAATATGTACATTTAAGCTTGAGAAATTTGCGTAAAGCTAACATCTTTCACGCCTAATTCCTTCACAATTCTTTCTCAGATGTTTGTACCCGTGAAAATTAACCAGGAAGGCGAGGAGGGAGAGAAAGCAATGTAAACTGAACTCCTTAAGATATATATTTCTAATTTTCTCATAACGATGCATAAAAAAACGCTACAGTTTCCATGTAAAATATATTTTCCAGTTCGACAAATAAAGAACCTTACTTCCTTTTCCATGTGGGGTCATCCGCAGTGTGGGAGTTTGCCTTTGCGCTGTGATAGAAAGCAAAAATTGACTGTTCAATGAAAATAAGGATACAACACTTAAACACTATAATTAAGGTCCAAGGAAACCCCTCTCAAAAATATATACCCATCTGAGTCATTTACTTTGATCGCAAACGGAAGGCGTAACAAACTCGTTCTCGGGTTCTCAGACTAAGAAAACGAGGTGGAAGCGATGTTTAAAGTAGTTACTCTAAAACAGTAATGACACTTTGACGAATATTAGTAAATAACTTATTTACATGTGTAAGTTAACCTCTTAAAAACTTACCTGATTCCACTTTCGCAATACCCAGCTTCCCAATAAGATTCTGTGCACCAGCTAAAAAAGTACCAATACCGTTTATCACTACGTGTTTATTCGTTGGCGTTGTCGCTATTTCTGCAATTTCTTGTACTTCTACTCTGTCTCCAAAGTCAAAGCCATATATCTCTACTCCATCGTCCCGCAGCTTTCGTGCAGGGTCGGAGATCTCGTCATTGGATTTACTTTTAATCATTAAAACAAGAACTCGTCTAACTCCTTTCCTGGTACTCTTACTGTAAAATGTATCCCTAGCCGTGATAAGACTGAGTCCAACGTTCGCCACCTGCTGAGCTCCAGAATACTTGACACTGTCTATGGCGGAGTTGAGGCTAATCTTATCAAAATACTTGTCAAAGCCGAATATTATCTCTGGATTACTCGAAATGACACCAAGACCAACATGAACATTTTCTTGTGAAACGGGAAAGGCACTGTAGATATACTTCACCATTTCCATGCATTGAAAGAATTCAGTTTCCATTACATTTGATGATCCTTCAACAAGGAATCCCAGATCAACCTGGATAGCTGTAAAGAAAAAAAATACCCATACTTCATCCCAGAAAAGAGACACGGCTAAAGAGTGGATCCAGTGAAACGTTATGTGCTTCTTGCAGAAAAGCAGAGAAAAGTTGATGATCCGTCGAAAAGGACGCCCAGATCAACCTGGATAGCTGGGAACAAAACAAATACCCACACTTCATCCCAGAAAAGAGACGTGGCTAAAGAGTGGATCCAGTTAGACTTTTAATTGCTTCTTGAAGAAAAGTCGAGAACGTTGGTGAAAAAAACACTCTTAGTAATGACGATGCTAAAAAAATAAAAGAATAGATAAAGATGTTTTTCGTCTTGTCACGAGCGTGGGACAAAGAAAAAATTCTGAGTCGAACCTCAAACCTTCGGATTCCGCCTTCCGATGCTCTACCACTGAGCTACAGAGACTCTACGGTGCGCGACAAGACTCGTGACAAAACGAAAAACATCTTCCTCTATTTCTTTACTTGGCTCAAAACTTACCATCTCTATTATTCTATTCACAAAATTATGCTATCCACATTGCTGATCTTAGCAATATGCAGGACGCGCGTCTTATAAACTCCGTAAGAGACCTCGCTCGCCGTCGAGTCTCTGTGGCTCAGTGGTAAAGCATCGGAGCGTGGAATGGATTCTTATGGGGACTTAGAAATGTTTACTTGTCCCACGCTCGTGACGAGACGAAAAAAATCTCTCTATATTTCTTTATCGAGCTCAAAACTTTACGTCTCTCTTACTCTATTGAAGTAAAATGAACTTGCAAATGACGCCATAGTCATAGAGCGAAACCTAGTTTTGACAATCAGAGCAGAGTGTTCTATTGGATGCGTCATCGTTACTCCCTTATTGTGCTCCTGATATCCCATGACACCAATCAGCGCTTAATGAGTAAGGAATTAAATCATTCTTTAAGGAACAATTTTTGATGCTTCATCGTTGCAATAGAAAGCAGGGTAATGTGAAGGGTCAGTTTGTCTATTACTAGGCGATAATTGAAAGGAACCTTGTTATTTTGGGGATCATGCCTAAAAAATCTGAGGCTACTACAAGCCACAAGGGGGAAACTGTTTTTTTGTTTTTGTTTTTACCTTTTTCAATCCTCGACGCTAGATTTCCTCCAGCAGTTTCTCGGTGTGATATAGTTGCCATTACTACGTGACTCACTGCTGGTAGAGTTGCTATGGCTTCAAGTTCGCTTCTGTCTACATTCTGTCCAACTCCGATACAAAATATCGTTACATTAAGTCCTTTCAGCTCTTTTGATGGGCTCAATACGTCATCTTTAGACTTTCCTCCCGAAATGACCACAAGTATTTTGGGAACTTCCGGACGAGGTTTACCATAAAACAGCTGACTTTTTACAGCAGCTAGACCTCGTCCGAGGAGATTGTCTCCTGATGTTGTGGACGTTACTACCTCATCCAGCGCAATGTCGAGTGACTGTTGTGAAGAATACTGACCCATGGCAATCATTGTGTGAATGTGCTCGTCGTACGCCAGAACACCGATCCGTGTCTTTTCGTCACCAATAACAAACGGCGCATATGTTGATTTTATCGAGTTTAAAACGTTACTAAATTCATCACGCCTGAAGTTGTTGGAATTGACATCCAACAAGAAACCCAGATCCATTTTGACGTCTGAAAATAAAAAGGAAAAGTAAGAGAAAGAAAAGTAAGTTATATTAGTAAATTAAAACTAAGATGGAAAACAATCACAATACTCCAAAGATCACCCCTAAAACCCTTGCATTCAAACAATTTACTGCCGAAATCTGGCCTTGACTCTTTCCCTCATCATTTATAATTTTTCCTCTTTCATCTTCTACTTCACGATCAAAATCTATCAATCAAGAAAACAAAAACAAAAAAACAATTACTTACCAGCAAGTCTTAATGGAACCACAGTTTCTGTGATATCTGGGATTTTAAACACATAACCACAATTAATCAATGGGTCAACTCAAAGAGGTGAGAACAGAAAACAAAGTCCGGAGCACGTTGATTCAGTTTGGGACGAAATAGGAACTATTTTGAAAAGTGGAATCCTCCCACACGACTAAAAGTCAAATTTGTTCTTACCTTTTCTGATATTCTGCACCACAGGTCCCAGCAGTGTATCCAGCTTATCTGAACTCACCGTAGCTAAATGTTCCCTTTCAGGAGCTGTTACAACATTTTGAAGTTGATTAACATCTACGTTATTACCAATTCCTACGCAGAAAATCCTGACACCCTCGTCTCTCAAGTCGCGCGAAGGTGCTTTCACATCATCCTGTGAGCTTCCTGCCGCGATGATCACAAGTACTTGATGTCCTCCCGGTCGTGCACTAACGTCATAAACATTTTTCTTAACAGTTTGCAGTCCCCTACCCAGAAAGTTCCCGGAAGAATCATATTTCAGAAGTGAAGGAAGCTTCATATCAAGCGTTTGTTTGTCGGTGTATTCGATTAAGTCGAAAATTGTTTTCGATTCTTCACCAAAGACAACAAGACCAACATGAGTTGAATATTCCCCAATAGGAAAATTGCTGTACAGTTTTTTGATGAACAGCTTAGCATCCTGAAAACCGGCATTTGTGATAGAGGTCGATCCATCAAGCAAGAACACAAGGTCCAGCTTCTCATCTGAAATTATATTAACAAAAGCATGATAATTGCATCTGAAAAAACGAAAAATGCTTATGTGATAGTCCATCCAGGAATAATTGATTTTACAATCCATAACATAATTTTGCTCACGCACGATTGGTATGACACATATCATTACCAAATATGCCTCGGCTAAAACTGTGGAATTTACGAAGATATTCACCATCTGATATCCCCTAATTTTCAAACCTTAACTCCAATACGATAAGGTTCCGTTTAGAATTTTATTTCAAATGAGAGAGCGTTTTTTTGGTTGTAATAGAAGACGTAACTCGTAGAATATGAGATTTAATACAGAAGTGTGTGTGTTACATACCTTCGACGGGTACAAGAGAAGGAACTGCTGGATTCGGGTGAAGGGGCCTTTTACTCAGAGCCTCATTTCCGGGTTCTTGTCCCCCTGGCAAGGCCACTGGAGCAGTAGGTAAAACTAATGATGGTCCAACTGGAGGTAGTCTCCCTGGGGGGGATCCTACTGGTGGAATACTGGGTGGGGTAACAGCTGCTGGCTGTATCCCGGGTGGCGGTACTCCAGTTTGTGGTACACCAACTGGTGATATCGTTCCTGGTGGTACTCCTGCTTGTGGCACTCCTGCTGCTAGCGGAAACCCAGTAACTCCTCCTGGCGGCACCCTCCCTTGAAGCAAAACTGCTTCTGCCCCTGCCTGTCCAGGTATATAACGTTGAAATCTCCCATTGGGATCTTTCGGTGGAATGTATGTCGTGCGTGCTGAAATTGTCAAATCAAATCCCCACAATTAGCTTAGATTCTGGGAAATATTTCTTCTTCAAGAGCTGCAAATGCTCATGCTCAAAGCAGGTGGCCACCTTGAGCTGCTAACGTAGGTAAAGTGTATATTATTAGACATTAAAAGAAAAAAATTACGAGTTTTCCGCCTGTGTACTTTCAGAATGAACAAAATGATAATCAACTGAAGTTCTTAAAGAGACAGAATTAAGAAGACATTATACAATTCAAACTTAGGGGAATAGCTAGGATAATCTTACCTTGCTCGATTTTGTGAATAAGAGGTTGTTTTAAAAATGCAAGACCTGGGTAGGTGGAAACTGTCAAAACGTTATCAGAGCTTGGTGAAGACGCTATTCCATCTATTTGCGTCTTCTCAAAATTGCTGCCTACACCAATACAAAATGTAGTTACTGAGTTTTCTTTAAGCATTTCTGCTCCAAGGAATACGTCGTCCCCAGAGCTACTTCCAATTATTACGACGAGAATCCTTTTATAGGAATCCTGGTGTTTGCTACCAAACAAATGTGTTTCAGTCCATTTTAGAGCATCTCCAACCATAACTTTTCCTCCACCTGGAAATGCTGCATTACTTATGGCATTGTTTATATCTGTAATGTCCTTATAACTGTTATCAAAATCGAAAATGACACTCGCATCCGCTCCAAACACCACGAGCCCAAGATGAAGGCTGCCAAATTGAGTCCAAAACGAGTCGCCAATGGTTTTCGCAAAGTCAAGTGAAATGCGAAAGTTTCTTTCCCCAACAGTGTCTGAACCATCAATTAAAAAGGCTAAGTCGATCTTGGCCTCTTGAAAATAAAAAAATTAAAGGTCAATCCAATGATAAATATCTGCAGAGCAACCTAACTATAACAGAGGAAAATATTGAAAAAACCTTTGTAAATTAATTAGGTTTGCAATTGATGTTTTGTCTCTAGAAATGATGAAAATGTGAAATGTGAGGGAATTTTGAATTCTTCTTAGCATCAGTTTCCTTTTTTGTTATTTCTCGTTAGCTTAGGATTAGTGGAATAAACTAAATAACTTTCGCTGAACATACCTACTAGATCTCGATGATCATACACAATTGAGCAAGTTTGAGGGCGTAAAAGAATGCCCTACAACCCAGAGGTCAGTCACCTATCGAAATTGACCTGTCTTGTGATGTTTTTCCCTTTAATTCGTTGAGTTGAATTCTTGAATGCTTTTTAATCATCAACGAAAAGTTTGATCTCATTGCCGCGAATATAGTAAGGTCGCGAAAAAAGGAGAAGAAAGTTGTACCATTATCTACAAAATTTACACTTTACGGTCTTTCTTACCAACAATTCCTCCATCTGTCCATAGGCTCCCAGTGGTTGCTGGAGTCTGTTTTCCAGTCGGTTCGCTGAGAACTGTAAATTTGCTTGGTAAAGTACTAAACAATACAACCATTCACATAGTGGTCTATTGCGAGTGATTTATTATAACAACCTATATTTCCAATTTAAAATAAAACAGAATTGAGAAATAAGTCGCGTTTTTCGAAGATTTGTTTTTTTTTGCTCTGTCTTGAATCTTTTTTTTGTGGCCAGCGTTCGTCCGTTATATAAATGCCCTATTTAGTAGGCTCAAACGTACTTTAAAAATTAATAAATCTGGTGGATAAACGATAAAATAATTATTGCTCAATTCTGTCATGTAGGAAGGGAATATATTTGGCCATTGGTCATCACACACGGACCTCCAGCGAAATATTTTCCCGTCCGGCCCTCCCACTAGAGGAACTAACTTCCATGTTCTCAGCAACATGCGTCCTGTGGGGGGAAAGGGCATCTTACCTGACAAAATTCGCGATGAAAGAGTCGGCACCACATTTCGCAGGGTGTTAAATTCAGTTGTTATCACATAAGTACCAGATGGTGAACTAGCAATTAAGTCCAGCTGCGATTGGTCAAACCTTTTTCCAACGCCGATGCAAAAGATCCGTACACCAGAGTCCCTCAGTTCTTGCGCAGACGACTGCACTTCATCCTGTGAGATGCTTCCTTTAACTACCACTAAGATGTGTGCCACTTTTTCGCGGCCACTGTGTGGGAAGAGTTTCCCCATGGCTGTATCAAGTGCATTACCAGTATATGACTCATCACCAGAATATGGAATCGCATCAATAGCGCTTTCTATACCCGTTTGATCCAAAGATGTGTCGAGATTAATATCCACGAGCGCTTTTCTGCCGTACGTTATTATTCCAGTATGTACACCCTGTTTTGAAACTGGAAATGAACGGAGAATTTCCTTCGTAAACTCAAGGCATTTCCTAAAATTTCCGGTTCCTTGATCATCTATATCCTTGGACCCATCCACCACAAATACGAGGTCAAAAGCAAGAATATTACCTAAATCATAAGGAAAATGAAATGGAGGTGTATCTTAGAAATAATTGCATTTTTTACCTTACGGCGCACACTCCTTTAAGATTAAAGCTGAACATGATGAATCAAACAAAGATGGAAGATGTCTTGCCTTTGAAAAAAAAACAACCTTTGTCAAATTGCTATCAATGGTTAAAAGAGGAAAATGACATGCTGGCCACTCTGATGAAGTATCCTCCCTTAGAAAATCATATAGTTATGAGACCAGCATGGTTTGAACACTTACAGTGTGAAAAAACCTTTGCATCGGACGGAACATTCTGTATCAGTCTACAAAAGTTGTAAGCTTTCGTACATGACAATTTTAACTAACTTTACCCTCTGCAGTGTTGGCTCTTTTCTCACTGTTATCAATGACGGTAACATGTTGAGGCTTTTCTTCCCTTGATTTCAATAGCTCTGTTAGTTGCTCTAAGTCGTCTGTGAGCCGACTTAAGGAGCGATCGTCTGCGTTTTGTGAAATTGAGCGTTTAAACCTTGCTCTGTTAACTTGTTTTTTGGTCGAAGGAAATTTTCTGATTTTATCGTTTGACGTCAGCTCCCTGCTGTGTTTGGTTTTAAGGCGGAACTGTAGAGGAAGACGCATAAACTTTCCATCTTGGCTGATTGGAAGGAGTCTGACGTTTTTTCTATCTGCTTTAAAGGAAAATATAACTGCATTTTAGTGACATTGGAGGTATGATACATCTATCCTCACTGCTATTCCAGTGGTAATTATAATAGCATATTTGATCGCAGTAATCATGAAAAGCAGTTCTTTGGTAGACTTCCTTAAGCATATTTAATTACAACATATGTCGTCTCTGACTGCTTAATGGCGAATAGACAAATAGGTCATGCATAGAGGGTAACAAGGGATTTTCTTTACGTCTAAATTTTGCAGGTGCTTATATGTCACGACATGCAGTTGCGTTCGTACGATTTTTCTTTGCAGATGTGAAAACAGACACCAATATGTAGTCAATTAAATCCCCGGTATCGTGTAGTTTTTCTGATGATTATCTGGGTCCTATATTGAAATCTGTGGTGGTCAAATTTGTACGGGAGTCTTTACACGGCAATGATAGAGAAGAGAGAAGTTGTCTCTTAGCTACATTAACATTTTGAACTTATCTTTGACCACTAAATGGTAGATAAGTAGTAGTATTACACTAGAATATGAATATCATTTCATGGACTCGCTTAAAGAAACTCGATACGAGCTGTATTGTGACTAAATATGTCAATTATCACAATTGTCTTGACTGGATTAGTTATGGCATCTATTGCTGGATGTACAATCGGCTGGCAAGTGGCGTACTCGACATGTTTAAAACAATTAATCTCATTAACCTCTCGAAGTTTCGTTACAAATTGGAGCTCCCGCATAATATATCTTTCCGATGCAGGTAGCATGGAAATTGTTTATTTACGTTTCTTTCAGCAACAGTAATAAACCAACTCTCTATTCTAAACATCCAATTCTGTATGTTGTTACTTTTGCGCTGTTTAAGTACATAAGTATCATACTTGACCTTTTATAATGTTATTTAACTGACAGAGAGCAGCAGGAAAGCAAAATGCAATCAAGGTCAAGATGATTCTCAAGAGCTGACCTGTCGGAGGAGATGAAAGCAAATTATTCCATATTTAACCACGTACAATTAAGAAGAAAGGATCAATCTCACCCATAGACATAATTTCTTGCATATGACTTTTTGGAAGTCATTTTGTGGTGTGGTTAACGTTTTGGGGACGATCATTTTGTTGAACCATTACAACCAGTTATTTTTCTGGTACCTGTAATTTTGCTTAAGAGACCACGATATTGCTGAGAACGTTACCTGATAATGACACTGGTCGGCACAATAGCGAACCAGAGCAGAGCAGAAAGCTTTGGCCAATTACAGATCGCAATAGACCATGATTTGCAAATAATTATTCAGGCGTGAAGTTAGATCCCACCCCTAAACATGCACTACAACGACTCTAAAATGAAACGAGGAGATTTCATTCCCTGCTTTTCTCTGGAGCTTACTACTTAAACTCATTTACAAAGGTGTAAAATCAGCTTTTTTGTACTAACGAAACACCAGAAGAGTCTATGGAAACTCTAATATGAAAATTGCGTGATACAAGCAGTTCAAATTGAGTCAAAGTTTAGCCAACGACTTGATTCTAAAAACCGGTTTCACACTCGTTGGACCCTTGCATACTGAACTACATCCAACTTGTAGGGGGTAGCGGGGGACCGATTGAAACTTAGTTTGTTTTTGTTAATTTACTTGCTTTGTTTTCGTTGCCTTTTTCTTTCAACTGAGTTCGACCCCCCTTTTTTTGCTGGTGTAGTGTCTAGAACAATTTCTGAATTCATCTCTTTGTAAACTTATTCAGACTTTTAGATGGCCACCGCTGTGCATGATGATTGATTATTCACAAATTTTCGCTTTCAAGTGGGTGATTTTAAGATGTTGCATTATTTTTAGAATGCGCTGCTGCGTTCATTATGGGTTTTGTTTGTTTCACTAAAAGAACGTTACCATCTCGAATTATTTTTTTGCATATCAATGCAAACCTTCGCTAAGAACTCTTCTTGAATAGGCATATCTTTGTATTTCGTTTATTTTCTTGCAAATCAATCCAAACATTTGCTAAGAACTCTTCTTAAATCGGCACATCTATTTACTTCATTTATTTTAATTTCCTTATTTTTGGATTACCTTTGTTTTTAAGATAGGCCAGTTACTGAGCGCTGAGTGGTTCAAATGGATATGCTTTAACTATACGAAACAGAATTCTAGCTGGTTGTCTTCCACATGCTGTGTGAATCAGGAATAAAAATTCTCAAGAAAGCAGATTTGAAATTGTCCCTAATGATTTTCTCCCCAGTGTATACACATTAGTTTTCATTTAGCTTTTTGAAAGGAATTAAGTTGTTTTAAAAGCTACAACAGGTTATTGACAGATGTCAGTTAGGTGCCATCCCATGACTACCAATTAGATTGATCACAAATCAAAATATCAAATTTCGCTAACCCTAAAAAATTTTAACAAAGCGACTGGTGCACTTTTCTGGAGCCTTTGTTTAAGGTTCTCCCAAGAAAGACCGAAAGGATTGAATGTTATACAAATTGGGAGGAGACAATGTGATTAAGCGTGCCATCTTCGAGATAACACTTGCCATTTCAAGTGCCTGTAAAACTACATCAACCATGTTTTTGCATGAAAAAGGATCGTCTTTCCGATCACTTGGTTACTTCGTGTTTACGATTCATTGGATCGCCATTTTGTCGTCAGGTTTGGCATATGCGTCTCTTCTTTAAAGAGGCTGGAATGTTTATAATTTCTATAATAGCCATAATGAATATTCAGTGAATAGGTGCCCTGAAAACTTAAACTTTCGTTCCCAATTGGACAAAATCCCCAGTAAAAGATGAACATTGTGAATATATCACGGTCTTTATTAGTCCAGTATGCGAACTATAGTATAGATGTATTATCCTTTCTCCAAACCCCTAAGGAGATGAACATCAACATTTTTAATCTTATCCATCGCATCGTTTCATCTGAACATTATTAAGAGTCATTAAGATTCCCACGACGCGCGAATTTTCATAATAGAATTGACACAGCGTAGCTTGTAGGGTGGTTATCAGCTGACGGTAATATCTTGCCAACATAGAAAAAAGGATATAAAACAGTGGCCTTCAATAACTAATACCCGCTTATACAAAGAAAAAGTAGTGCTTCTCCGTCCATAGAATGTAGTATAGCGGTAGAAGTTGGTCATCGTCAGATCACATTTCGAAAAATTTTTCATCAATTGCTTAAAGAAAGTGAACATTCGTGTGAGTCGTGCTTAAATACCAATTTGCAATATGATTTCAAAGATCTTTTATTTTAAGCAAACTATGCGCTACAACATAAGGCTTCCACCTGAGCTGCTGTTCGCACACACCATCTCAAAGGAAATGTATTTATTTTCTTTTAGGCTCAAAAGTCAATGACACTCAGGAGGTGGCGAATTTAATGGGTAAGATAAACATGTATCACGCTAATTGAATTAAGGTGGACGCAATGTTGATTGGTCAATGCACTCAACTTCTCTTCGAATCGAAAGCTCCAAGGTCCAGCCGTAGCAGAGCCATTTTGTTGAGTGAATGTAAGCTCATGCAGGGAACAAAATCAGCGGTTGGAACAGAATAAAATAATTTGTGTTAAGTCTGCCATCCAAAAAACTTAATTTTTGTTTTTGGCTAATTTATGGAGAGGGGAATTGTTTGCCTCGTGTGAAGCGCAAATGGTAAAAATCATACTATATTTTAAAAGCTCAACGCAATTCATTCAAATTCAGCAATCATAGTTCGTTAATTTGGTGAAAAACGGAACTCAATTTCTTATATTATCTATACAGGTCAACTCTTTGATGATAGCAAAGCGTGCAACACCCCTACTATGGAACTCGGCTTCCTTGTATCAGGCAGCTATAAAGAATCAAAGGACAAGAGTGAAATGACGTTCAGAAAAGCATTACGCTTTGTAAGAAATATGGCACAAAAGGCAAAGGTTTCCGATTCGGGAACCCATATTGGCCTCGTCGTGTATGGCAAGAAGCCTTATTTGGCGTTTGACTTCAACCAATACTTTGAAATATCGAGTCTCTCGCAAGCCATTGAAGAAGTGAAAACGCCCATTGCTGGGAGCAACCTTGGAGAGGCCCTTTCGTTTACCAAGAACCAGCTATACGATAAAAGCGCGCGTCCAAATATTCCAAAGACGTTAATTGTTCTTTTATCCAAAAGATCGGAAGACGCCATTGGTCACGCTGTGAAGGATCTAAAGGATGCTGGAGTGAAAATTCTTACAGTGGGGATTGGTGGTGAAAACGATCCTTTAGAAATGAGTGACTCAGCTTCAGATATTCAGAATACTTTGATATCAGATGAAAATCATTTGGACACTTTGGAGACAAAATTAGCCCCAAAACTATGCCGAGGTAAATATTTCTATTTTCGAATTAATGTCAAGCAAGAACATGTTGTTGAAATTTCGATCTATAGTCCTTATTTACTCCATCTTGAGCGGTTTTCTAGTTTTCTTATGATCTCCATGCTCGAGTTTCTCTCTAATGTTCATTATTTCTTACCTTGAAATTGAGGCCCCTTGCACTATTGAAGTAAATATGAACATGTTTACAAGAGCTTATTCGAACTTAATGTTTTGAGTACTATTTGCTTTAGTAATCAATAGCCCTTAATTAATGATATATTTGCTTTTACATTTATACGCTAAATAGTTCCTTTTGCAAAATCAGAAATTTCTTCATTTTGCTTTTATCTTTTTGTTCCCTGCCAGATGTAATTGAAGGAAGTAGCTCCCAAGGTTTGTTACTCTCAGTTACCCTTTTTAATATTAAACATTGCTTGAAGGCTGATGTGACAAGTAATTGTTTATATCATTATTTTTTCCTTTGAGGGCTATTGGAACTCAAAGATAGCAAAAGTCACCTTGCGCCGTAATCGGAGTTGTTCTCTCTTTAGATCGGTTAATTTTGTTATGTTGAGCACGGTGCACACATGTTAGTCCCAGCATACATCAATGTGGGTA